GTTTATTTTCCATAATCATCCCCAATTTTTATTCCTCATGAACAATGCCTGGATCTGCGGTGTCATTATGATATGATATTAGGACAGGGAAAATAATACACATGTACTAATATTCTGACATGTTGTCACTCTCATTCAATTTAGAGCAGACTTGACACCTGAGATAAATTTCTATTTGCAGCAGACTGTGCATATAAAATTTATCTTTACGATGCGGTTAATCTCTAAATTACAGCATGGAGTCGAAAATTTGCTAAAGGAATAGCTCAGTTAAATTAAATTAAAGTTTATCATTCATAAACTACATCCAGAAACCCACAAAAAATAAAGTAAAGTTTGGTGTAATGTATTGGCCATGGTGTAATCAGTAAATGTCATAATTACATAATATTAGTCATAAAATTGCATGCTGTTAAATTTTTATAAATGTGTGGGAAATATAGTCCAATAGATAAATTTCCCCTACCATGACCATCAGCAGAATAAACTATTTTTTATTAAAATTTAAGTAAATTGTATTAATGTTTGTGATTTCAGTGAAATTGAAATTTTATAAATCACACAGTCTATGTACAGATTCTAAAATTGGTTTATGTTTCAAATCTAAAGTTTTTATACAAACAGTCCTCCCTGTGATCAACTTTGCTGATCCAGAATGTGTCAGCTGAATTCAGTTATAATCTAGACTACTCCTTAAGGGTCTTTGATCTCCAATAATATCCTACTCATATGTGAAAGTGTGTATGTGGACGGTAAATATTGTCCCAACAGATTGACTACACTCCACTGAAAACTCGGAGGTCTATTTGTACAAGATTGGGCTAGCAGTAATGTAAAGCGTTATCATCTGTGTAGACAAGAAGTGTTGTCCCCAACATTCCAGGGCCAAGTACATGAAAACAACACACTTCAAGTGTATATCCGATACCTATAGAAAATCGGGAACAACGTCACAGCATGATTTCAGTCATTTTAAACTCCGTACAGTCTCAATTTCAAAAAGAAATCATGATCAAACTCTTCCTTTCAGTACATATTCAAAATCTACATTTAAGACAGACAGCTTTAAACCTTAATGATAACATATTGATTTCTCCGAGCTTCACCTTTGGTGGAAATTAAGAGAATTTTTACCCACATCTTGCCTTTTTTACAGCTCAGGAAACAAATAAACATTTGACTTGTGGCACTTGATGTGTGCAGGTTTGTTATTGCAGAAGCCTCTGATTCTCTATAAATCATCACAACTCTGGCATGCAGTCTCAGCTTGAACATAAGATTGCAACAACTGTATACACTGCTTAGCAGCTGCTGTGGATATCCCAGACTTTTAACGAGGCAAGGAGGAATGCAGGGGGAAAGGAACACTTTAAGCAGTCAAGTGGAGCCTGGAAATCATGAGGTTCACAAACTTCAGACACACATACAAAAGCTGGGCATCAGGAGGTTCAACTTTTTCCTGATAATTTTGGGCATCAGGGTTCACTTGATTTTACCTTCCTGATGAAGGGAAGTCAGGTGTTTGGAAACAATATAAACATAGTGTAATCTGAAAGGGAACAATCAGCCAAAGTGTTCCAGCTGTAACAAGATTCAAAGCTTGAAAGGATGTATTTAAAATTGATTGAGTACCAAAAATAGCCTTTCCAACTTCATAATTCTCTGTGTAAAGGGGTCTTTCTCATAAGACATGGAATCTTTTGTATACTGTAACAGGTCCCTTGCACTAATCAAGGGTTGGTCAACTAAAACATTGGCCGAGCAAATAAAAAAGACTGGAACTTTGACCTTTTTTGAATTCTACACCTTGTATAATTCCCTTGAAAATTTCTTGCCAAATCTTAGCGTTTCATTGTGTTTGGGAAGGGTTCTCACGAGCATAATATAGTTATACCAGTATGAGAATAAACCAAACTAGAAACTCTTGTTGCTACAGCAACAAAGAAGGTCTTCCGTTCTCCTCTATTTATCGCATGAATGAGCTTTTATCTATGTTCAAAAAGGCATATGCTATTTTAAATGATTTCAGGAAAACAAACAGCCGGAGGTGTAACTTACCAAGATTCTTTATTTTACTTTAGACAATAATAGTCTTAATAACATGTACAAAAATCTTTTTCAATTTTTGTATCACTCCCGGTGACGACCTGAAGTGACGGCGGACGCATTTTACCCTATATTTGTTGCCCAATCTTCATGTTTTTTTATTCATAGAATTTTAATGTCTTGATATGTAACAGTTTAAGAGTTCTCGTAATATTATCTTCTCATTTTGAGGACAAGAAATCACGTGACCGGAAGTTAATTTTTGATATTTGAAGTTATTCTAGACACATCAGTCTGAATAACATGTCCTAAAATCATTTCAAATGCTATTTTTATCAAAAATATTTATGGGATAGTATGATACTAAATTTGTGCAGTTTTTCTTTCATAACCGGAAGTTGTCGATTTTGTTTCCTTTAGGACAGACATATTTCAAAACTACAAAAAAGATGCTATAATGTATTACTAAGAAAGATTCCATAAGAAAAGTTTTTATTTATTTGTTCACTTCCAGTGACAACCGGAAGTGAGGGTGGACAATCTTATCCTTACTGGTTTGCCTACTCATCAAGATATACCACTTGTAAAAGTTTGGTGTCTTAATCTCTTACCCTTTACGAGATCTAGTAATGATAACTTCTCATTTTGAGGACAGGAAATAACGCAACCGGAAGTTAATTTAACGTAGATATTTGGCGTTATTGTAGGCAGTTGCAGTCTAAATAACATATCAAAAAATCCTTACAAATACTTCATCTATAAAAAATATTTACAGGAAAGAAAAATACTCTAATTATGTAGTTTTTCTCTTATAACCGGAAGTTGTTGTTCTTTGTTTCCGGCGTTACTGACATATTCCAAAACTACAAATAAGAAGCTATTATGTGATGCAAAACAGGTTCCAGAAAGAAAAGTTGAATTTTTTGGATTTCTTTGATTACTTCCTGTGACGACCGGAAGTGACTGCAGACGATCTTATCCCCTATGGATTTGCCTACTCATCAAGATATACCACTTGTAAAAAAATTTGGTGTCTTAATCTCTTACCGTTTACGAGATCTCGCTATGAAAACTTCTCATTTTGAGGACAGGAAATCACACGCAACCGGAAGTGAATTTTACATATATAGTTGATGTAACTGTAGACATTTGCAGTCTGAATAACATATCCAAAAATCATTTCAAATACTTTATCTATAAAAAATATTTATGGGAAAGAAAAATACTCAAATTATGTACTTTTTCTCTTATAACCGGAAGTTACCGTTTTTGTTTCCGATGGGACTGACATATTTCAAGTCTACAAGTAAGATGCTATAATCTGATGCAAAATAAATTTCAAAAAAGAAAAGTTGAAATTTTCGATATTTAGAAACACTTCCTGTGACGACCGGAAGTGACGACGGACAATCTTAACCCAAATGGATTTGCCTACTTATCAAGATCTATCATCCCTGTAAGTTTGGTGCCTTAATCTCTTACCGTTTCTGAGATCTCACTCGGATTAAATATTTTTGAAAAAAGCGGAAATCGGACATATCTGACGACCGGAAGTGAATTTTGAAAAAATGAAAAAAACGTCTCGGGGTATTATTAATATCTATCATCCCTGAAAATTTCAGAAAATCCGTGGATCCTGCCGATTTGGGGAAAAAAATAATAATAAGAATAATAATAATAAAAAACAGTAGAATCACTATAAGGTCTTCCGTCTGAAACGGAAGACCTTAATAATTTGTTCAAAATGCCTGAAATGGTGATGGCTAGTTCTCATTAAATTTAAAAATCTGGTAGATTTCCTTTACAGAATTTGAGAGATGGTATTTTCAACCAAGCGGGGAGTTCCTCTATCAATTTCAATATAATAGATTTACTACATTAGTTATTATGTTCCCTAATAGGCAAAAACTGGTAGATCTTACTAAATATGTTCATCATAAATCAATCTGCCTGTCATCCGATTGTCGGGAAGACTAAATATCTTACAGATAAGTGGATATTAAATTGATTACCAGAGACGGTCATGCAAGTGTACTGTCGTAAAAATCATTAGACGCAAGAAAGCCATCAATACAGAGACAATATCCACATGGTGGGCAAAATTCTGTTGAAGCTAAGTCAGACTGAACTGGAATTATATTTAATTTTGTCCTCTCAAATGTTACTTGTCACATGATAAGTACCTAACATAATGTGCCAGGTATGAGGTATGGTTATGATATGACCATTTTCTCGGTACTTGTTCCATACATTTATATTTATCTCATTTATTTAAGGTAGTTAGTTGCATTGACAACACTTTCAACTTGCAAACTGATCTACTTCAAGTTCATCCAAATTGTTGGAAAACAAGTGCATCAAAAAAGTATGTCACCCTAAAAACACATAATGTGCTGCATAGAATTTTTGAAAATTGTTATCAACTTAAAATTTGAAAACTGCTGGTTTCATTCATAAATTAGAGAGCACTCTTGTTTCCATCCTCCACATTATATTCTGGAGCCCAAATAACTATAAATAAACAAAAAATTGCATAATATAGTAAGAGATCAGATGATTCTAATTGTCTTGCTAAGGAAGTTGAGAACTGCATAACTGCTATTAAAGCCTAAGATTATGAATAAAGTATATCAAGTGAGCTATTGAGTGTAAGTGTGTTTTTGAGTGAGGATTTCCCCTTAAGAACAGTCAGAGTGTGACTAACTGTTACTCTATACAGTGAGGTACTTATAATGCATTAGATAATCTGCTCCATTAAAATAATTAAAGTTCTTATACATTGTATTACTAAGTAATTCTCATAAAAATTCTTAAGTTTCAGGAATTTATCATATCCTCCCATTCGCTATTCTGTACACTACATTACAGTGCAAGCCATGGTTTTTGTAAATCCTAACTAGGCAGTTGAATTCTGTACATGTGCTTACAGACTGAACTATAGAATAAAAACATGATTTGAATTTAACTAGTTTTTATTACACATACAGCACTGGCTGTTAAAAATTACAATTAGGCATGCAGAGATTTCTATCTCTCACAGACAAAAAAAGCTTTAAACACACGCGTCTCCAGGTGTTTTAAAAAAAAGATTCACAAAAATAAAAGTTGACTGGCACCCAGCCAAAATTCCTTTAGCCCCAAAATATGATACATCTATTATCAATGAACTTTATCAATCCCTCTGGTGAAACACAAGAATTCTCCCTGAATAAAATTTTAAACTAGGTAAATTTAACTAGATTTCCTAATCTTTCTTCAAAGAAAAACAAAACACATGATACCAGATTGAGAATTTAAGTACTACAGTTTGCTGAGGGGGAAAATAGAACTTGTTCTCTTGGATACAATGTTCACTTGTGAAACAAATGTAAAGATTTAATACAATAGGGTTCCTTCCAGTACATGGGAACAGTTTTTTTTCTAACCTTTTTTTTTCCAAATTAGAAAATTAAATCATATCAAAAGAGCAACCTGTGCATTATAATAATAAATTTAAAAAATATTCCACTGAATTCAACTTCAGAATACAACCATTTTTGTTTCTGTTATTTCTATACATTAATAAAAAACACTTGTATTTACAGCAAGATGTATACATTACATAAGAGAAGTTTACTCCAATATATCAAAATTCTAGATAAATTCAAGCCCAGACAAAATGAGATATTGTATTTGGTTCTTCACATTTCCTTGTTTCATGTGTCACCTGCCAAAAAAAACATCTTGAATAATTTTTGAGTGACACTAGCAAAATAACTTCATTTAACAAAATCAGCTACTACTGTGTCATTAAACGTTTCTTATATTTATAATACCGTGATTTAAGTATAGACCCAATTTATATAAACTTGAGAAACTTGTTCAAATTAATACAACACAAGTGAGAAATTAATATATATAAAATAAGAATGACTCCTATACACATGCCATAGACAAAATACTCCCATAATGACAACGTCTTCCAGCCGACACTTTCACACCTCAGAATTGGCATCCTGATCATGTATACCTTGTATGACCAAGAGGCAACTTTGTATGTTTTACAATCAAGCCTGTAACATACTCTCATAAAAAATGGGATTTAAAGCTAAAAAACATGTTTATTTACAAGTAAAAGAATCTAAATAAATTGACACAGACATTTATACACATAAAAAAACATGTAGAATTATATTAGTGTATAAACATATTTTTAAAAAAGTAATAAATATACATGTATACTTTAAACATGTTAAAAGAAAGAAATGTAATCGTATTAAAAAAAGTGTTGAAGAATCCAAATTTTCACATTTTCCATATTTGTTTTCACTGTATCAATGATTAAAATGAAATATATTACATGATTCAAAATATCTTTGTTCATGCAGCTATCAAGCTTGAAACCAGAAAACTTTTTTTTTTATTTTCCCTTTTTTTAAACATAGATTTTTGGCACATGAAAAGAACGTAGAACTTAAGAGATACAATATACACATATGTTCATTTAACACACAAATTAACTTAATATAACTTGAGACAATTATACATGAACTATTTCACACACATGTACATTATCTCTGAATGTGTACTCTTATGGCAGTTAAATTATTTTAGCACAATCACTCATGCAGCAAGTATTCACATAATTAAATTTTACACCTGATGAATTCAATTGAAATTCTCAAGAGAGCTATGTAATGGCATCTTTGGAAGGTGTACAAATTATTCAAGTCAATGTATTACAGTATATATTTCACTGACAACATGCTTCTTATTAATCAATTTATAAAAAAATTTATAAATTCTAATGAAGTCCACTTAGGTTTTCCTTTTGCTTGCCATCCAAAGAAGGTTTTCACACGTTACTTTCACGTTTGTTAGATCCACAAATTTTGGCATAAAACCTCTTCCACGAACTGAGGGTTTTTCCAGTCCATATCCAAACCCCTGAGGTAATTCCGACAATGACTGTCATTAAGTACTTGATCATAAACACATTGAAGTCAGGCCACGGTTTGTCCCCTGACCTCAGCAGTTCAATGCCTTCGGGAGGAGCATCTGTAGAGGATGCTAAACACTCTTTGGTAAACCAATGTAACATCCAAGTGTCTCTAGATGCTTGTTCATAAAAGTAACATGCAATAACAATGGTAGCTGGCACAGTGTATAATACTGAAAAAATTCCAATACGGACCATTAATTTTTCCAGTTTGTCTGTTTTTGTTCCATCACTTTTCATAATGGTGCGGATTTTAAAGAGCGAAACAAATCCAGCTAATAAGAAAGAAGTTCCTAATAATAAATATACAACTAATGGAGCCAACACAAATCCTCTCAATGCATCCACATCGAAAATTCCTGTGAAACAAATCCCACTAAGTGTGTCTCCATCCACTTGTCCCATGGCTAAAATGGCAATGGTTTTGATGGCTGGCACTGCCCAAGCAGCAAGATGGAAGTATTGGGAGTTGGCCTCTATAGCCTCATGACCCCATTTCATTCCTGCTGCCAGGAACCAGGTCAAGGTCAAAATGACCCACCAAATTGAGGAGGCCATGCTGAAAAAGTACATCATCATGAATAGAATAGTGCACCATTCTTTCTTAGTTCCTTGTGTAGTTATAAGCACCGTCTCTGGTCTGTTTTTAAATCTGTTGCATGCTGCTGCTTCTTTGTCAAGGGAAAATCCAATTACATATGCTAGAGCAACCATGAAGTAACATCCAGACAAAAATATGATTGGGCGTTCAGGATAGCGAAAGCGGGTCATGTCAATGAAAAAGGTTAAAACCGTGAACAGCGTAGAAGCCAAACATATGCTTGACCACACACCTATCCATAATTTGGCAAAGTGTCGCTCATGTTCATTGAAATACATGTTTTCACATGGGGCCCCACATTCTGGGTACACTGTAGATCCAACTTTCAAACGGTAGTCAAATCCTACTGAAATACGGTACTTTATGGGGCATGTTTTGTACGAGTTGACCACATCACCCTTTTGGTCTCCCCCATATCCCGGTCTATACTTATTTTCTTCATCATCAGGAATAAATCCAGGGAAATGTTCATCACGATCATTCCCACCTCCTCCATTTCCATCAGGAGGATGGGGTGTAGACTCCACTGGATCAGTTCGATTTTCTCCAACACACATACCACTCTCTGGAAATTTTTCACATTTTAAGCTGTCTGGCCATTCAAATCCGAACTTATTCATTAATGATTCACATCCATTGCGAGCCTCATTACACATAGAACGACAGGGTGGAATAGCCTCTTCTAGCACTGTACACACAGGTGCATACATTGTGCACAAGAAAAATTTCAGTTTAGGGCTGCACTGGACCTTCACAAGAGGAAAGAATTGATGCACCTCTAATCCGGCATCTTCTTGTTTTTGATGGTTCAATAGATTCGGCATGATCGTATAATTGTACGGCAAGTCTTTGCACAGAGGAATCGAAATCAGTTGACATTTTGCATGTGGTTGAAACATTTTCTGTCCATTCACAATAAAGCAAATCGAGAAAAGAAACGTAACAAAACACACTACTTTTAAAGCTGCCATTTTTGTAAATAATCCGCTGGGTTGAGCCAATATCCAGGTAATCAATATTAAGACATGGTCCTGAAATAATCAAAATCACACATTAATTAACTACACACATCGTCATGTTTTCTAATAAGTCTAAACGTTAAATAGAGTTCGACTTACATGAATCAACTATGTGCATCTTCTTTCTCCTGTCTTTGTGCGGTGAATTGAATTAGAATTTCGAAAGTTTCTAGATCAGTGACCTGGAATACCAAGCACTAGCCTGTGTGAATTGGGGATCTAGAAACTATTTATGCGCCAGAGAATCTCCGAAGTAACGAGGATTACAATTGGTTAAGAACGCTGTTACTTTTACACCCCCTTCAAAACTATTATCAGAAAATCCACGTTCTATAGTAATGTTTTGATTTCGCAAAAAAAATTAATGTTATTCAGTGAGAAAAAATCCTTTAGGCAATTATCATATGGTCACCTGAGGACTCTAAAGGGCGTTTATACAAGTACTAAAAGATTAAATCTTGTTTGCCCCTGTCAAATGCAATTAAAAATAAATCACTCAATTAAAGTGGACATAATTATGCTCATTAATGACATTAATCCTGTAATCATTGATGTTAACTAAATTAACGGTTTTAGGGGTGGGCGATATTATACATAGAAGCGTCTAAATACCTGTCCAAGTCTCAATTATTTAGTGTTGATTAAAAGTTAATTGCGATTACCCCCCCCCCTTTCAACTGATAACATTAATTTAAAACCCTTTTCAATGAAAATGGGTATTACAAATTCAAACTTACTGATTTGATGCAGGTATTAAGTTTATAAATTTGATTATCAACTTCAGATTAACCTTTTATAGTCTGAAAAAAGCATTTATCAATCGGTTTGTTTAATATTTATACGACATTTCATTTTTGTGGGTATTATAATGTGTTGAGAATGAAAAGCTTTCAGGCTTTGTATTAATTTAAACCACATTTTAATTGAAAATAACGAGCAAAAATTTACAACCGCTTTTAAGAGTGATTGGATGTGAAAAATTGATTATTTTAATTACCAAGTAGATAAAACTTTAAAAAATATTAATTAAAATTACAACTTCAAACCAACTCACAAAAATCTCAAATTTACGAAATTTTAAAGAACTTTGGATGTGAAAAACACAATAAAACAAATAAACTTCGATAAAAATGAACAGTATTCTCATTGTAATGGTGGAAAACCCTTTTCCAGATATTTCACTGTTTCGGGAGATTTTTAAGTTACGAAATACTTCTTGGAAATAGAAAATGCGTTCTTTGTGAGTATTTGGAATATATATTGCTTTTGATTTTTACGACAACCGAGAATCTGGTGGGCTTAGCGGTAAAATAAAACGAACAATCGTCTGATCAAACGACTGTATGCGAAGGGATCACTGAAGACACAAATGACTTGTTGAGTAAGAGCTGGTTTATTTGAAAATTTTAATTACAGAGCATGTAATAAGTCACTCGAACACACTTCCGGTATAATATATACAGTGAGCGTTAGTGACGGTATTCTCGATGTAATGGCGCGTAGTCCTATCTGCCTATTTCAGACATTTCTGTATTATTTTTTTTTTTGAGACACGGATTACTCATAAAGCGGAGAGATTCTTTCCCTTTCATTTTTGTTAGCAACCAACTATCAATATTATAAATTGTTATGAAAGTTATTGTAAAGAGGAAAATCATACTTGACCAAATAGTTTGGACCTAGCATCGGTTTTGAAAGGGGGGGCTGGAAAAAATTGAAATGTAAATAGCTTAGTTAAAAAAACTTTCAAATTATACTTACCAAAGGAGCAATCAAAATTACATCAAATTTACATCAATCTAATTATACCCCACTCAGAAGGAGGGGGTATACTGATTTACCACTTGTGTGTGTGTGTGTGTGTCTTTCTCTCTACAAATTTTCATCACAGTTTTCTCAGTAACGACTCATCGCAGATGCTTGAAATTTTAGCACACCCTTTATTTAGGCATGTCATATGGTGGGATTTATTTTTATTCAAATCCCTTGTCAATTTTCTGTATATCCGCGCGTTCGATCTTGAGTTTTCCTATGACCTTGAACTAACTATTTTTTTGTATGTGTTTTTGCTCAGTTTCAAGATAACTATTCAAGATATTTTTTTAATCAAAACTCATATTTTGAAACATATTAATGCCAATTTTATTACTGTAATTATACTTGGAACTCTGATTTTTCTCTTGACCTCACTATCTCCCATTTTATTCAATGTGTCATTATTTTCTGACTTTGGCATTCCCCATATACATGTATTTAATTTCACTATTTCTAATTATGCACCCGGATCGCTGGATCCGGGGCATATATTGTTTTAATCCTGTCTGTCTGTTTATCTGTTTGTCTGTCTGTTGTCAACTTTAACCTTCAACGTAACTTTTATAATGTGAGAGATAGAGACTTCATATTTGGTATGCATACTCCACTGATTAAGCTCTTTCAATGACACCAAGGTCAATGACCTTATAACCTTGACTGTGACCTATATGCTAAAAATAAATTTTTCGAACTTTCGCTGTAACTTTGAACCATAGGAGATGGAAACTTTACATTTGGTATGCATACTTCACTAATTAAGTTCTTTCAAATGACACAAAGGTCAATGACCTTCGGACCTTGACTATGAACTAAATGCTTAAAACAGCTTATTTGAAATTTCGCTATAACTGTTGAACCACAGCAGATAGATTCTTCATATTTGGTATGCATGCTCCAATAATTAAGTTCTTTCAAATTTCACCAAGGTCAATGACCTTTTTCTTTATATCCAAATTATTGATTAGCCTTGAGCCCTTGACTGTTTTCCGACAGGTCAATGTTTATGCTAAAAATAGCTTTTTAAGACATGCAACTTTTTGTTGCACTCTGCTATCCATTTTGTGTTGAGCAGTTTCTTTGCCTTTGACATAGTGTTTCACAAAGACATCTTGTTTTTAAGTTTTTACACGCTACTTTTTTTTCACAGTTTTTTACTTATCTCAGTGAAATTTCTAACAGATAAAAATACTTAGATACTAAATTTGATTGGTTTTAATGAATATTGTTGCCACAATAGCTTAAAATAAAAAAATATGAAAATTTTTCAAAAGTACACTGTATACTACTTACAGATTTTGTCAGATTGAAATAAAACTTAGCACCAAAAGAAATTAAACCAAAAGATCATTATTTCATTCATTGCTGTTATAATAGATAAAGGACAAATTGCTACTTTCAATCTTTCTTCTATAGAGGTACAATCTCTTCAGACACTTCTTGTTTACTCTTACTCTCATTTGATTAAGATTGAAATTTATCTACTTTATACAGTGTAATGCAGCCCCCTATCCCCAGCTGTGAAGGGGAGCCTGTCACCTGAAAAGCAAGAGTGCTGAAAGTCGAGGGGTCCACTGCGGCCACACCAAGGACGGCAAGATGCTATGCATATGCCTTGCACTCTGTCGCTTTCTTTATTTCCAAATTATTGATTAGTCTTGACACTCCTTGACTTTTCCACATTCGTTATTAACAGGTCAATGTCAGACTATCCTCATTCTGGAGACAAAGTGCGGACCGTGGCCTGCAAGTGGGAGTGGAAAGTCTTCAAGGATATACTGCAGCCAACCCAAGCATGTAAAACATGCACTGTGTACATCTGTACATCTTGCACTCTGTGTACATGTACATATCTCATTTTGTGTTGAGCAATTGTTTCTTTGCCTTTGACCTGTTGACGTCTCTATTAACAGGTACAGGGTTGGAATGATCTCCTTCCGCACAAGAAGAGCAGACCGTCACCCGCCAGCAGGAGTTGGGTGACTGCAGCCAATCCCCAGACGCCAAGGTAAGTTGCAGAATGCTCATCTAACACCCAGTCTCTTTCATTACTGTGCATGTAATAAGGAAATATCTAAACTGTGTTCTTTGCATGGGGTGAATTTCTATAGCTCTAAGTAAGATTGGGACTCTAGCTCTTGCACTCTTTTGTGAACCTTTACTAGTTAATCAATGTTGAGCATATCAGGCCTTGACCTCTCTCGACTTCCAATTGACAGGATGCGCAGAGAACAGAAGTGCCTGTGACAGGATTCCCAGCAAGCAGCAGAGCCCGGCAGACGTTGCAGCAACCGGGATCCAATTCCGTAGCCAGGAAGCCTTACAGAGAAGCATTTTGAACTTATTTCATACTGTCTCCTTTCCTATCATCCTAATCTAACATAGCTAACCATTCCCCTCCCCCTCCATCATGCATTTTCCTGACCTAACTGTCTTCATTTGCTGACTTCCTTTTGTATTAATTTTCATGTCATGTCTCTGAATTTCTGTGATTTGTTGGATTGTTTTGAATTTGTACTAATTTTCTGTCAGTTGTGTATTTTCAGTGACTCGGACGTGGTACGACGCTGGAGGATCAAGGCCGGCCAAAAGATGAAGATTCCATTGCCCAGTTATGTCCGTCGGCCAACATTGGCCAGAGCGGTAAGTTACATGATTCTTTTGTGGCACTTTTGAATCTCTGTTTTACCATCATAACTTGATCAAAGCAGCTAGGGTGCTCCTTTTCACTCTTGTCTTCTGTGTTATCAGGAAAATGGTCAGGCAAGCGTCGATCCCACTGTGACGTACAACTCTGTGGTCTGTCTGCAGCAGTCTGGAGAGCAGGGAGCGACTGCAGCCAACCATTGAAGAGAGGGTAAGAGTCAAGTTTTAACACCTGTCCTGTGTTGATTCCCTACTATCTCTCATTCTCACTTAATGTAGATTGTGACGCCTGTTGATGTCTTGTGTTTCTGCCTCAGAGATGCAGTGTAATGCAGCCCTCTATCCCCAGCTGTGAAGGGGAGCCTGTCACCTGAAAAGCAAGAGTGCTGAAAGTCGAGGAGTCCACTGCGGCCACACCAAGGACGGTAAGATGCTATGCGTATGCCTTGCACTCTGTCGCTTTCTTTATATCCAAATTATTGATTAGCCTTGACACTCTTCTTTGACTTTTCCACATTTGTTATTAACAGGTCAAGGTCAGACTATCCTCATTCTCGAGACAAAGTGCGGACCGTGGCCTGCAAGTGGGAGTGGAAAGTCTTCAAGGATATACTGCAGCCAACCCAAGCATGTAAAGTAATAAGACATACACTGTGGACATCTTGTACATTGTACATTTTGCTCTATTTACATCTTTCACTTTGTACATCTTGCACTATGTGTACTTGTATATCGGATTTTGTGTTAAGGGATTCTTTCTTTGCCTTTGACCTGATGACGTCTTTGTTAACAGGTACAGGGTTGGACTGATCTCCTTCTGCACAAGGAGAGCAGACAATTCAAGGTGTTATGGTGATGCCCTTGTGAGGCAAAGTGTTTCCCCATACAGCTGAACGGAGGAAAAAAATGTATGGCCAGCCTACAGAAGGAGGGGATCAGAAGAGGATTAGAAAAGAAGAACGGAAGAGGAGTTACCTACAGAAGAAGAGGAGTACAGAAGAAGAGGACAGATTCAGAGGAGAGGAAGAGAGAAGAGGAGTCCCTTGTCCAGTTAAGACGTACCAAGATTGAAGAAACTGGTAAGTAAAACTGCTTTTGTTAAAGTTTTTGATTATTTTTTTTTTATTTATTCTTACTTGTTTAAAGGAGCTTCTGTATTTTTGTGTTATTAGAGGGATGGATAGATTAGCCTTGATCCCACTATGATGTTAAACCATGCTCAGGAGTCTGGCGAGCAGGGATCAACTGATGCCAACCATTGAAGAAAGGGTAAGATTCAAGTTTAATACCCATAATATGTGGATTTCTTTTTAGCTCTTCTGGCCAGAAATTAGAAGAGATGTGATAGTAAAGTCTCGGTCCTCCTTCTGCCTGTTTGTCTCTTATGATTTTTGAAATGCTACTCCTCTAGTTTAGATCTGATTTCAATAGAACTTGGAACACAGACTACACATAAATACATAAGTCTATTTATCAGGTTTTGATTCAATATACAGTTTTGATTTTACTTATTTACCCTCTCTGTGCCCTAGAGGACTTGTGTGCCGTTGTTGTTTGAACAGTTTTGATATGATTATTAAAATACAAAATTTATGTAAATAATTTAAATAAAATACTTGCAAAAAAGCTACTGCTCCTAAAGTTTTATTCTAATTGCAACAATTCAATTTTTCTACAATAAAAAACTAAGAAGAATTATTCCTATTTTTGCTGTTTCATAGTGTCAAGTCCAACTGGTTTTTCTCTTCCTTTGTTTTAAGAATAAACCAGTAGAACTACAATCTCCTTAGTCTTTGTCTCTTATTTTCACTTGATGAGAATTGTTTTCTTCCTCAGTGACACAGTGTAATACATCCCTGGGATTATCACTGTGTGGAAACTATACTTCAAGTACAGATGCAGTTAACTGCAGCTAATCCTTGAAATGAGAGTAAGAAAGAATTTCTAAATGCAGTTTTTCATCTTTTCAATTTTTAAATGAAAGCACTCTCTTTAGATTTTTGAAATTTCTTTTTTTTATAAGCAGAAGAAAGACTGACCTTGACCCGAGAATGAATAGGAGACCTCTGAACTGCCAGCCAGTGTGAAGAGATTTCAAGAAATCACTAGCCATGCATGCAAAGAAGAATTGGTGAGATATTATTTCTATACCTTGCTCTTTCTTAATTTTGTAAATATATTATGGTCATTTATGGTCATCATAATGACCTTGTCAGCAAATGCTGATGCCTCCTTATTGTAGTTTGATCATGTCAATATTTAATTTCTTGTGCAGTAGACTTCTCCAGTTTATGGGAGTAGATTAGGAAAAGAAAATGTAATTTTGCACAGTAAAACTTGCTTAGAGGCTAGTTTAACAGTAAAGGACTATAGGTCTCTTATTTCTATATATAGAAAAGTATATACCTTTTTATAATATACTCCTATATAAACTGGAGAAGTCTACTGCACAAGAAATTAAATATTGACATCAGCAAAAAATGCAAGTTAAACTGTTGTATCAAAATGTTACAGCAATAGCAAATCAAAGAGACTTCAATTCTTATGTAAAATCCAGTAAGCTACTGAGTGTCAAACAATTTGTTGACAAAGAAAGCAATTCACAAAATGCATTGTCATTTCTGATTTGTGGTCCATAATTCCTACCTTTCATTGATGGCTTTATTATTATCATTATCATACAGAGTATACATGTAACATACAATAAACTATGCTATCTCTATAAACTTTTGAGTTTTGTATTAAACTTAGATTATTGCCATTTTTAAAAAAAATGATATCCTGGTCCAGTAAAACAATCTTATATACATTTTCTTTGTTATGTTTGGCTATTTTTGAGTATTCAACCAGTGAACAATACTGTTAAATCCATGATGTGGCATCTGCAAATACATGTAAATAAAAAGCATAAAAATCCGAATGTAATCTTTATAATTAAGTGCAGCCAAGTAAAATGACAATTGAATTTGATATTTATCATTTAAATCTAAATCTAAACTTACATAATAATTAAAATGTGAATAAATGAATTAAGTATACAGTAAAATCATTAGTCTTTTTTACTTTAGATTATAGTCATCCGAGAGAGTACTATGGTGCAATGACTTTGAATTCATAGTTTATTGTCTTCTGGAAAGTTAAATGTAAAATAAATTAATAAAATTTTGAAGAATTTTATGTACACAATATTAGATGGGTTCAATTAATTTTATGTTTTTAATTTTAGCAGTGGTATATTCTTTGTTTTTAAACATAGTATTTCTTGCCTGAAAGTATCAGAATCATATTGGAATAAATTTTCAAGTGTACTTAAAGTATGTCAAAAATTTATTAATTTCAAATTTTACACAAGTGTCTATCCAATCGACAGTTATCTCTTTGTTTAACAACAAAAATGGACTCAGAAGACAGAAGGCCAAGCTAACTTACATTAGAAGATACCATTTGACTGGAGTTAAAACAGAAATTGATTGTATTAGCTATTCTTTTAATTTCAACATTTGTTTGCTCCCACAAACAAAAGGAATGGCCTTTTCTCTCTCCCCCCCCCCCCCTCTCGCTCTCTCTCTCTCTCTCTCTCTGCAATCTTGCCTTGCAAGGTTATAACTTTGTAATCATTGGCACAGGTACAAAGATTTTCTTTAACCTGAGGGTATGCCATGACCTTGACCATGACCAAGGAGTCACGTAAAGCAAGTTCAAGATCACTGAAAGAAAAAAAGTATATGTAATTAAGTTTCTGTCAGGGCTATTTTTTTTCACTTGTAATGGAGTATCATTGGAAGCTCATACTTAAAATACAAATTCATACTGTTTATGCATGACCTGACCTCAGGATCATGAACGATGTTTAAGAGGCAGTCCACCGAAAACCAGGCAATAGGTGGCACATCGCATGCCATGGATTTTAATTATTTTTTGCATGTAGACTTAGTATAGTAAGTGTTTACACATGACAACATCAAAATTTTTTTTAGTGGTCCTCTAGTCCTATTTTTGGTAAATGCCTAATTTTAAGTGCAAAAAGGTCAACTTGAGGGTAAAAAAATTACTACGTATTTATTTTGTTTTATATGTAACAGATACTCAAAAGCTGGATGTGTCAATCAATATTTTTTATAGCATAGACTCTTATCTTTTATTTTATAATGAATAAGACTCCAAATTATATTTCTTTAGAAAAAAATTTGTGGTCCAAAATTGAGTTTAACAAGTTACTTTTTGAATTCAGTATCCAATTTTCGATACGTTATAAAATCCAATGCATTACTATGACAGAATTTTTTCCTCATGTTATTATGAATACAAAGTACAAACTTTTGAGTCATTTAATAAAATTGGTGGGAACAGGTATATTGTATTTGTCGTTTTTTTCATTTTTAATCGTAACGCAGATTGTTTCTTCTGATTTGACTGCATAGGTAAATATATTTAAGTTTTTACAAATATCATGAAGTAAACATCTCAACTTCGTTGAATTAAATGTTGCGTAAATATAAAACATTCATCATTGATTCCAAACTTTAAAAGTACTTATCAAAACGGACTTGTTTTAATACATCTACATGAGACGCCGCCCGTGTATTAAAAAAAGTATTCTGCAGATTAATTACACAGAAAAAGAAAAATCATTTAAATCTTTTTCTTTACACTTTATGCAAAGAATTCACAAACTTCTCTTGGAAACTTGCAGCTATTTCATTGTGAAGCAATATTAGTCAGGTATATGACGTCACTGATATATCAATGGAAACGTGATTTCAACCTGAATAATATAGCCAATTTTTATTTAAATATTACGTTTGGATGCGAAAATGAATTAAATTTTGAAAATAAATAAGTTATTTTTTGTTTAATAATTTTCTTTAGTGTATCAATTCTAAATATTTCACTAGGATTCCGATAAAAAGGTGTTTAGCAGATTTACCGATGACACGGGAGGTAACTCTTGCATCACAAAATTTCACAAAAACGTCTATATATTTTGCCAGAAAACTACTATCAAAAGTGTTTTTCCCACCGATTTTATTTTTTAAACAAAAAGATGAAATATTTCTAGATTTAGTTAAGTGTGAATTATAGTCCTGATAAAAATGTATTAGAAATTACAGTTCTTTGTTTCTGATCTACATTCAATGGTTTATATAGGGGAATTCAAAAACACAAAACACAGGGATATTTTACTAAATAAGCAATTTTCAAACAAATCTTCAATTACATTATTCCTTTTGGACTACATTAATATTGTTTTTAATAAAATATCAAATATTCCTCACATTCGATGTGCCGCGTATTAATACAATATACTGCCTGGTTTTTCGGTGGACTGCCTCTTAAAAGCTTATGTGAAAGCAAATCTTTTATTAAGCTGAAAAAAAATTAGTCAAGATGTCCAAATGAGAATGATTTTGAATTTGCATAAAGTAATACACTGCTGTTGTATGCAAATAGAAAGTTTCAGTTTACAAGGAATGAACATTTTACAGATGCTTGAAGTTTTGACCTAAGTTTATGTATATTTCATGATCTATTTGTAAGCCTGTGTCATGACCTTGAACCAAGGTTATTCTGACAAGCAAACAAAAAATTTGTCCTTGTTAAACTTTGTTAAGAATGTGTTCTTGCTCTGCATGTGTGCCTGTGCCTTGACTCAATTTCATTTTGGCAAGTTCAAGGTCACTGGCAGGAAATGGGATAAATTTCTTATCCTGAGTGACTGTAACTTTGTAATGGAGAATCCTTGAAAGCTTTTGCTATGTGCAAAGATTTTTAATGACCTAAGGATGTGACATAATGACATAATATTGCCCCAATTTTATTCCGACTAGTTCAAAGGTCACAGAGATAAATTACTTCACCATCATTAATATCACTCATTTGACAAGATAATTTAGTGTTTTTCATATATATGTGTGTTCTTGTACTTGTTGTACTTTTCCCCTTTATTATCCCTCCACCTTCTTCTCCCTCCCGGTGTTTTCAATACATATCTACTTTTACCCGTGACACATTAACGCTCTCCAGTAAAGGGAGGTACATTTGGTAAAAATTTGTTTACACTCAAAATGAAAGTAGCTTGAAATTATGTTTTATTTTGAATCACCCAGAGGCGTGATAGCTTTAAAAAACTTTGAGCATTTTGCAACAGTTCGATTGAAATTCTTATTAAGAGTTTTAAAATGTGGAAGCCAAGTAGACGACTTCATGTCGATTCTGTCCGACCCGGAGGTTGTAATAGATTCTGATGTGTTACTTGAAGGGTCCCATAAAGATATTATTTCTCATTTTACCTTGAGGTTTGCTTTTTATAGTATTTTATGTACTGACATAAATTCTTCTTTCCAATGTATTTGATTAGTAGTTAAAATATTGAAAATGCGGACTGCTTTTGCATCTCGGAAGTGAGCACCTAGCTTCTTCCACGAGCACTGGATGTTAATGTAAATATTGAGTATGTGCTTGTATTCATATTAAAGCTCATAACCGGTTTGTTATAAATAATTTGGTTGTTATTTTCAGTGTTTATCCAGCTTCTTTTGAATTATTCATTCATACCCTGATCCTGAATTTTTTGGTCAAATATTCATATATATCAGCTAGTCTACATGGGCTCTGGTAAATTAGGATTACAAGCTGATAAACACACAGGGACCGGTAACATACTGTATTTGATTTTACATAATCACTACATGTATACAAAAATCTCTTTTTGTATACGTGTAGTGATTACGTAAAATCGAATACAGTATGTTACCGGTCCCTGTGGATATAAACAGTACATGTATAACTTCAGACAGGAAAGGACAATTTGAGTCTTAAAAGATTGAAATCACTTGTATTATTATCTATAATTGCATATCTATAATAGCAAAATTATACTGATTTTTTTTTAATTGTCAGACTTCTGTTGGCAAATGAGGCTGATACCTGTGATTTTCTTCTACAAGCTGAAACCAGACTGTTCCAATTCAGACTACAGAGCATGAATGATACAGAAATATCAAGGTATAGATGCTAAAACCCTGTGAAATGTATTACATTGAATGCTGATATTCCTCACCAAGTACTAAAGAAGTATTCTGGACATTGATGAATATTCATAATTGTATACTGTAAAATCACTTAATTTTTATGGGGGGTTATTTTTGTGGTTTTTGAGGTATGAAGAGACCCACAAGTTAATGTCCACCATGAAATGTAATTTTTCACAGGTTTTACTACTCAACAATACTTCATCTATGAAATTAAATCCCATGAACCCATAAGTTTTCCACAAACCATGAAAATTTGACCCCACAAAAATATTTGATCTTACAGTATAGCATATACAGGTGACTCTCGATCTCTCGAAGTTCAAGGGACCGCAAGAAAAGTTCGAGAGATCGAGGGGTTCGAGAGATAGAAAGTAAATAAAATCCGGAATTTTCAGTTCCGATCATCGAAGTTCTACGTTTATAGATACCGGAGGTATATGTAAATAAATACATTGCACGTTTTCTATCGTATTTTACAGGTAATATTTACTTGATATCAACAACAATGATCGTATTTCGGCTAAATAAAACGAATTCCTAAAGTTTTAATACTTATTTGTTCTTATTTAATAATTACATGAAATCTGAATAGTAATTGTCGGTTTGACTATTCCGCGGCTTGATCGGGTCCTTCACCTGTTCACCAGTGTTCACAAGATTTTTCTTATTAATCGGTATTTAGACTTGAGAAAGAAATTTCTTGTGCAATATTTTCCATACTGGGATTATGTAGACTCTAATAAAAGTTCATAGCCGATGGGAACTTATAGATTCGACTATAAATAATTTTCTAAAAATTATATCGTCTCGTTTTAGAGTCAAAATAAGTTATGAATTTAAAAACAGTTTAAGTAAAATTTAACAATCATAATCAATCATATCAACACAAGGACTACCCACAGGCGAAGTGTCATCAATGTAAACACCCAATTAACACCTTAATGCCAAGCCCCAGGCTTTCACTGTTTTCCAGGTAAGTTCAGGCTGCGTCAATTTTACGCTTCATTGGCTTGTATACACACGCAATCAAAACTTCGAGAGATAGAGGGTAAAATTCAATGAAATATGTGTAACGGGACCCATGTTTTGGTTCGAGAGATAGAGAACTTCGAGAGATAGAAGTTCGAGAGATCAGGAGTAAATTTGCTTAGTTATATAGAGGAAAAAAACGGGACCAGAGGTTCACTTCGAGAGATCGAGAACTTCGAGAGATTGGAGTTCGAGCCATCGAGAGTCACCTGTATTTAAATAAAATCTCATTTTGCAGGAATTTATGAATAACAAACTGAAATTGTGATGTAAACTGAAGTATGAACCTTGCTTATTAAGTACATAATAAAGTACATGTAGATTACCGGTATATGGATGTACTTTAAATTACCACAGAAATTTACTTGTAGGTATCTGTCACGTGTCGAATCAAAGCTGAAGAAACTCCATGATTCCATACATCCATCATCTCCAGACTTGTCTCTAGTGGACCAAATTCAGAGCATTCTATCACAGATAAAAAGTTCCCCCAGAAGCTGGAGAAAGGTGGTGTCCTATAGTCATGACAAAAGTAAAAATTTATCCTTCTGTGTCCCCTTTTCTGTTGTACCACAGTTAGTGGCTAAGAGAGAAGTTACCATTCATTATGGACAGGCTGATGTGCAATACTGTTACCTACATGATGTGCTGGAACACTGCTTTAAGCTTATTCTTCGACATGGCTTACAGAAATGTAAATCCATGCAGGGAAGCTTGGATAAGCGTTGTAGAATACTCAGACATAGATTGCAGGTAAAAGTTCTTAATTTCCTATAAGTTTTTTCAAGCTTTTCCTCCAATGCACAATTGAATTTTTTGTTGAAATCTCAGACACTATATCAGTTACATTTGTATTTATTTTTTTAATTCATTAATACAAGTATGAAGTATGGTCTTTCTTAGTTTTTAGAGTTTGAGCATGAAGAATTAATTAAGATATTTCATAAATAAATTCATGTGTTTTAAATTTGTGTCTAGATAATTTTACGGAATGACTACAAGCCATATGCTGACATGTCGTGGGCAACCTCCTCTTCTTTAGAACAACAGGAAGTGATGTCAGAGAGCAAGTTCTTCCCACCATGTATGTCAGTGCTATTTCAGAATCTCCATGACAACCACAGACTTCAGCACCATTCCAGGGTATGTCCACTATATACACACATACACTGAGAGTGTCTTATGTTGCTTAAAACAAACACATCTTCCGTGAGGATTCATTTTTATATGAATTTGATGTCTTTAACTGAACTTGTGTATATTCACGAGAGCACTAATTTTCATTAGGGTGGGGGTATTACATGTGAACATTGGCTCACATTTTTGTTTAATATGTATGATGAATAAAATTATTATATGAAAAGAAAAATGATGGAAAATTCTTTAATACACTTTGCCTATTCCAGATCCAGCTGACGTTGTTCTTAAAAGAGATTGGTCTGCCTGTCCATGAGGCTTTACAGTTCTGGAGGCATTATTACAGCAAGGCCAGTGATTCCCTGGGTGGGTGTCGTCACAAGTGGGAGGGGAACGAGAGGAGGTACCAGTACAGTATCCGGCATCTGTACGGACTGGAGGGGTCCCGGGTCAACTACAGGGCTCACTGCTGTATCTCTCTACAAGTAGGTAGAAGTGAGGACTGAACAACAATAAGTTAAATACAGTCAAACTTGGATATCTTGAACTTGAAGAGACAGTTTGAAAATTCAAAATATCCCAAGATTCAGGATATCCAGGTTAAAATACATAAAGAAAAGTGGTTGTGACTTGCAACTCACTTTGAGATATCCATGGTATTTGAGATATTGGTTTTTGAGATGCCGAAGTGCAACTGTAAATGTATATGACATTATATAAAGATTTCAGAATAAATTCTTGTACTGCTTCATTGATTGTACAGTGTTTCATTTTTAGGAATTTGTGCCACCATGTGGAAGTAGTGGAGGTTGTCCTTTCAAACATTTTGATGATGCTAAACTGATTCATTTTCTGTCAGAGGAGAAAATTGAAGATATGGAGGACATAATGAAACTGAGGGGTCAAGGGCAGTTTTCCAATGCCTGTTCCCTGTACCTGGGGAAAAAGACAGAAAACATATTACAAAGTCAAGTAAATATCTAATTAACTTTTCATTTTTTTTAATTTGAACTCTTATTACAGGAACTTAGAAGAAATAATTTAAATAGAGGAACTGATCTATTATATGAATGGAATAAATTCACTGAGCTAGACAATAGCAATTATACACTTGAACATGTTTGAAACAGAAAATAAGCTACTGAATATTGATATATATGTACTGTAATAATTCTGTATCTTAATTTGTTTAGATTCTTGCCGATTCTAGTTCCGAATCAATGTGTGAACCCTCAGCTAAAAGAGCAAGGTTGGAAACTATTACTTCAGACATTAAGATACCAGACAGTAGTCCATGTGTTAGTCCAGGAGAGAGTAAAGAGGAGCAGATTACCACAGAAAAGTCTCAGTGTTCTAGTTGTACAGGGTGTGAATTAACCTCTTCTCTATCTACAAAATCCACACAAAACCAAAGAACTGAAAAAAGCTTAGAAGATTCTGTGTTAAAACCATGGGAGACAAATTCTAAAATACCTTTTCATGTTCGAACAGAGGATGGTAGGACAATCATTAATGAATGTGAGAGAGAAACCAAGCATTTACCCCATGTTTCTATTCCAAATCAAAGCAAGATGTCTATCTCAAGGAAGTTTGAAAGCACCCTGGATGTAAACTCAGAAAATAACAACAATAGTGAACAGAATACAACTGACAACAAGGAAGCAGTCTTGTGTTATTGTCATGATCTTTGTTTATCTCAGATAACAAATGAAGAACAATTGTCAAAAGACCAAAGAAAAGTAACAGAAACTAAACCTATTATCAAACCATCTGAGTTTTATGTGAACTTCAAAAATTTCTGCTCAAATTCAAGGACAGAATTGTCTAAATAAAAAAAAACACTTCAGTTGCCTAAATAGATTTTTTTGCTTGTTAGGAAAACAAGATGTGTAAACTTGTGAAACACTGATACCATATATGGCAGTTTTTAGCAAAGGTTAGAGTTTCTCAAATGCAAATTAAACTCCAAGGTCAAGAGATGAAAAATGCTGTTACTCAAAAGACTTGTCTCAATAAAATATCAAAGCCCAAGCACCGACCACTCAAAATTTATGGCCCAGAATAATCTTTTTAGAATGTGGGTCAAACTCCAATATGAAAGGTCAAATTAGAGATACCCAGGGGAAGGCTTTTTCATCAGAAAGATATACCTGTATTAAAGAAACATGAAGGCTCAAGTAATGACTTTTCAACAGTTATGACCAATGTAATTTTTCTCATAAATGGGTCAAATTCAAAAGTCAAAAGGTCAAAATTGTTGGTCTGTAAACAAAGGTCTTGCATCAGTGAAATATGAAGGCCCTAATTCTATGTTGTCAACTGTTATGGCCAAGGATAAAGTTTTTAAAGTGGGTCAAAGGTCAAGGTCACAAGGTAAAAAATATTTTCATAGCCTTAGAAAGGTCTTGTCCCAATAAATATATGAGTGAAGTATGAAAGCCTTAGCACCAACTGTGTAAAAGTTGTAGCCAAGGTTAATGCTTGAAAAAAAAATGCAAAAGTGGGTCAAACTCAAAGGTATGGTAAATCTGTTAACCCCCCTCACCCCCCCCCCCTTCTCAGTTTATAAACTTTTTAAAAATGTATTTTTCATTCGACATCAAGAAAATGTGTTCCCTAATTAGTTATAATATATATACACTCAATAAAGAACTGTAAATGAAAATAGACCCAACAATGATATTTGCTTAAATCATTGATGTTTTTGCTATTTCAAAATTCCGGCTGTTCTTTTCCAATTTCTTCAAAATTTTATCATTTTATATGTATACAGAGTGATTTAAAAGTGTCAAAATATAAACAGCAGAGGGCAGATTAGTTAACGACGTGTAACACTAACAGGTTGGCGTTATTGCATGCAGCTTCCGGATTTCGGTCTTCATATGTACTGCTTTTACCACGATCCTGGCTGAAATTGAAAGTAGCGATGACATCTCTTACAGGTTGCGGTCGGATGCTTCAACAACATTCCGTGTTATTGAGATTTACACAAAAGGGTGTCAGAACATTTTCTTCAAGTGCCTTGAGAAGCATTTATGATTACAATAGTATGTATTTGTAGAAGGCATTCAAATATCACTGCATTATTTCTGCATTTATTTTCACGTTACAGACGCAAGCACTTGTTTCGTAAACAGGGCACACCCTACTAAAAATAGGTAGAGGTGCCTTAAAATTGAAACAAGTGTCTGCGGTAACAGCGATTGTAGTAATCAGGAATAATGCTTTAATTTATTTCTTGGGCTAGTGTTAAAAAGAAAAATGAAATTATTCTGCGATTATGAGATTAAACGAAAATACATAATTCCTTTCCAAGGGCAATGAGACTAAAATGTATTTTGTAAATGCTTTATATATGTTCACGAGATAATACCTCTGTGGCAAGGGTGTTGCTAAAACGCGGAACGGAAAACGGAACGGAAAGCGGAACGGAACGGAAAACGGAAAATTTTTTGTCAAACAAATAACATAGATTCAATATAAATCAGATAAAAAGCAGGGGCGTAGTATCAGGGGGGGCCAGGCCCCCCCACTTTTTCTCCCGACATTACCTTTACTATAGAAAATGTTTACTGAAGGGAAGGTTGGCCCCCCCACATTTCAGCGAAGGGTAGTGTTATAAAGAAAATTTACCCCAAAAGTTTCAATTGAAAGACAGTTGGTCTTGAAAAAAGTTAGCCCCCCCCCCCCCCCCCCACGAAATAGGATTTTCGACTTCGGGCAACTTTTAGTTTTTCGGTTTTTTTTTTTTTTTTTTTTTTTTTTTTTTTGTCAACTTTTTCAGGTAAGTAAAAAAATTTTTTGCTCAGGTTGGCCCCCCCACTTCCAAAAACGATGCTACGCGCCTGAAAAGAGCAATATTCTTGTTGTAAAAATTATTTCTAATAAAAATTTATTGTAAACCATTATATATATTCATGAGTTATACACACTCTCCGTGGAAAAAATGCTACTGAGAGCCCCCCCCCCCCCACACACACACGAAATAGGATTTTCGTGTTTTGGCATAGGACATATCCCCCCCTTTTTTTTTGCTTGTCAAATTTGTTGTTTGTTGAAAATTTTTTCTGACCCCCACACCCTCTTTCAATGTCAATGTCTGAAAAGATAAAAATATCTAATTATGCTATTCAGATTATGCATGCGGTGTCGAATTCGCGAGTCATGAAAGGGGGTGGCAGTTTCGGGTTTGTGTAGGGGCCCAAAGCCACATTAAAAATTGATTTATTAAACCTTATGTACATTTTGGACACAAAAACGGGGGGGAACCTATTACAACTTCTCAGATCTTTCCGATGAGCGGTAAAACAAACTCATTTTTTACGGGGTCATTCATATACCCCCCCCTCCCCCCCCCCCCCCCCCGCAACATGCACACATATATGTGCTGCAAACAAACAAAATTTAACTTCAATGAATGCAAAAATTCTGCAATCTGCATTATACCTACCAAAACTTTGTCTATCAAGAAAAAGACTCTATTTTGAATAAAATTTTAACAACCAGTGTGTATAAGAGATGTTTATTCGAGCTTGCCGTAAAGTTTGCCCTAAACGTAATCTTATTAATTTTTCAAAACTTTTTTCTTCTCTTTCCATTTCCATGGTTCATTTAGATATCAAATATTTGCCCCCTCCCCCCCCCCCCCCCCAGTAATAACCTTTTTACGACGGAAATGTTCGTTCAAGTTCACATTTTCACCCTTTTTGTGAATATAATAAATGTAGTACCGTATATACTCGCCTATAAGTCGGTCCGCCTATAAGTCGGTTGTACTTAATAAGCTTATATTTCAGATGGACTGACCTCATATAATACCATTATTTTTATAGCTCGCCTATAAGTCGGACACAGAGTTTTGGACCTGATATCAACTCCCAGAAAACCGACTTATAGGCGAGTATATACGGTAAGTTAGTGTAAAAAAAAATATAACTAAAAAATGTTGGGAGTTGGAACTTATCCCCCCCCCTCCCGAATCAAACAATTGTCTTCTTTTTCCAGTTCGTTTACCCCCCCCCCCCCTTTTTTTCAATTTCGATTCTATGTGACTGCTATGTTAGCGACTTTTGTAAATAAGAGACTGAGCATGACAAAATCAACTTTATTTAATAGCGAGCGCAGCGAGCGTCGCGAAGCGACGCTCGCAAAGCGAGCTCAATAGACTAACGTGTATGAACAGAGAAAATTCGGATTGAAATCTGTACATACGTCAGCCAAATTTCTCTGTGCAACATTCCCAGAATTCCTGCACTACCCAATGTCCTTTGCGCGAATAAATCAAAAATAGTAAAAAAATTAAAGGAACATTGTTTCTTACCGAAATCTTAACGAAATGATTTTGCCTTACCTTATTCAAAAAAATACCCCACCCCCCCCCCATGCCACAACACCGTCCTTCACCTTGCCCTTCGGAAATGATACAAATGACGTCACCGGAAACTTACGAATTTTGACGAAGTCATGTCGGTTGCTTCCGTGAAACTCGGAAAACATGTTGCGGTGCATAGCAACATGATGGCTAAAACATAGCAACAACTTACTTGAAAAGAACGATTTAATGCAATCTCTTTTCCATAAAACCAGCGTTTGCGTCCTAAGTCAACAGAACTTTTTATCTGACGTCATACTTTCGTCACTTCAACGGTTCGGGTATTTCCGATTTTGTCGGAAACCTCCGAGAAGTTTGGAATCTTGATCCCGATGCTTGGGAAATGATTTCTTTTCATTGTTTTGTTTTATTCATTTTGCTTTCTTTTTCTTGAATGATAGACAGTACATGTGTAGGTTTATGATAGTAAATAAACTGCGCTCGCCCCAACGGTCACACCGTAATACATATTATCGTTTATGATAAAATCTGAGTATTTTAAGTGATTTAATCCAAAATAATACATTCCGTTTTCCGTTCCGTTCCGCTTTCCGTTCCGTTTTCCGTTCCGCGTTTTAGCAACACCCCTGTGGCAACGCACTTTGAAAAATTTTTTCAAAGTGCGTTAAAATTGGGACAAAATCAACGCACTTTGAAAAAATTTTTCAAAGTGCGTTAAATTTGGGACCAACTCAACGCACTTTGAAAAAATTTTTCAAAGTGCGTTAAGAGTCTACATCAATATATTTTACCGTGGAGACACTTAACGTACTTTGAAAAAAAAATTATATTTTAGTCATGGAAAGATTTTATTTCTTATTTATCTTTCAAAAAACTAAGCCTAACCCTAACCTCAAAAATGAATTGACTTACTCCCGTCGAAAAGAGAAGACGGGTATAAGATCCCCCAGTCCAAATCTTTATCTTTCCAATACATAGGTGTCGGTAAAAAATGGGGGAGGGGAGCAATAAACCTAAAATGGGTACGCTGCATTTTCAACGCTTATACGATGTATATATCTTTCCAAAATAAGTGGGGGGTTTAGCCCCCCATCCCCTCCCCAGGCCCTTCACCCAGTCTCGATGTCTATGCTATACTCAAAGCAATCATATAATTATGTATTTACCTAACTGGTATGACGTTGAAAACTTTCAATAATAAATGAGTTAATTAAAACAGATGAAAACTAGGAATATTTAAGTACAGTAAAACGTATGAGAGAGAGTTTTGAACAATCAAATTGGCCCCTTTATATTATTATAAATGCTAAGTTGCTTGAAGCTGTCGTCTGTTGGTGCCCCCTATACACCTTTACATCTACTTATCAAAGACCAGAATTTAAAAAAAAAACGCATTAATGAACTTACACAATCGTCACTCTTTTTTTCAAGACCCTTTAATTTTCCCTTTTATTTTATCAAAACCTTAAATATTTAAAACGTCAATATCTCAGGTCCTACAGTGACTTTGTTATTTATCATACCGATTATTTGAAGGAATATTGATCAATCTTTACATTTTTTTTCAAAGTGCGTTAATATGGTCGATATTAACGCACTTTGAAAAAAAATTATTTTTTTCAAAGTGCGTTAGCTTGGTCCCAAATTTTAACGCACTTTGAAAAATTTTTTCAAAGTGCGTAATTTTTCAAAGTGCGTTGAAACATACCTCTCCCAAAGGCAAAACCACTGTAGCGAGTTTCTGGGTCCTACTTCTGTTTACATGTAACAACCTTACCTCCCCACCCCCACTTTTTAGCTCTTCTGAGCCAAAGGCTCAAAGAGCTAATGCTATGGCCATTTGTGCAGTGTGCGTTAACTTTTTAGAATATGGGCCATAACTCAAGAACCCCTTGGCCAATCAGTATCAAATTTGTCACAGGGTATCCTTGGCCCAAGGGCTACTTTTTATACTAAAATAAGGGTTGGGACCCTTAAACAAGGGGAGATAATCAGGAAAACAAAACCAAAAGTACTGGTTGCTAAAAAATCTTCTTCTCCAGAACCACCGGGCAGATTTTCACCAAACTTACATACAAGGATCAGGATATGTCGAAGATTAAAAATTGTTCAAGGCATCACCCTGGGGCAAAGGGCGTGGTCTCAAGGTCACTTCAAAGTTGACCTAAATTTACAAATAATAAAAACATTTATATTTTGCTTAGTTTTAGGACTAGGATCATCAAATCTTGTAAGTTGATGCATCTTAGGACTTCACATCATGTTAACTCAAAAGTAGGTCACGGTGACCTACTTTTTAAATTTTGTGGGCATTTTTTTAAAAATTGATTTGAAGGCATATTTTGGACACTTTAAGGCCTATGATCATCAAACTTTGTCAGTTGATGCATCTTGGGTCCTTGAACAACGACAACTTAAAAGTAGGTCACCGTGACCTACTTTTTGAACTTGATGACTAATTCTTTTTATAACATTTAATCCAATTATTTCAGACACTGAGAGGTTTAGAATCATCAAATCTTGAAAATTAATGCATCTTTGGACCTTAAAACGTATTTATGAAAAAATAGGTCACTGTGACCTACTTTTTGAATTTTGCAGGCATTTGTTTTTGAATTGTTTAAAAAGGCATATTTTGATTACCTTCAGACCTAGGATCATCAAACTTGGTCAGCAGATGCATCTTGGGACTCTGAAAAATGTTGACCAAAATGTAGGTCACGATGACCTACTTTCAACATTTTATGGCTATATTTTAGTATCTTAGGTACTTATTGGCTTAGAATCATCAAACTTTGTGAGTTGATGCATCTTGGGTTTTCAGAGAGTAACAACCAAAAAGTAGGTCACTGTGACCTACTTTTGACATTTTATGGCTTTATTTAAGTATCTTAGGTATTTATTGGCTTAGAATCATCAAACTTTGTGAGTTGATGCGTCTTAGGTTTTCGGAGAGTGACGACCAAAAAGTAGGTCACTGTGACCTACTTTCGACATTTTATGGCTTTATTCAAGTATCTACAGTACTTATTGGCTTAGAATCATCAAACTTCATCAGTTGATGCATCTTGGGTTTTCGGAGAATGATGTCCAGAAAGTAGGTCACAGTGACCTAATTTTTTACATTTAATGGCTTTATTTAAGTATCTATGGTACTAACTGGTTTAGAATCATCAAACTTTGTTTGTTAATGCATCTTGGGTTTTTAGAGAATGTCGACCGAAAAGTAGGTCATGGTGACCTACTGTTGAATATCTCAGGTACTTATTGGCTTATAATCATCAAACTTTGTCTGTTGATGTATCTTGGGTTTTCGAAAATCGTCTACAAAAAATTAGGTCGCAGTGACCTACTTTTGACATTATATGGCTATATTTAAGTATCTTGAGTACTTATTGGCTTAGAATAATCAGACTTTGTCAGTAGATGCATTTTGGGTTTTCCAAGGATGTAGTCAAAAAAATAGGTCATGGTGACCTACTTTTGACATTTTATGGGTATATTTAAGTATATCAGGTACATATCGGCTTAGAATCATCAAACTTTGTCAGTTGATGCATCTTGAGTTTTCGGTGATCGCAAACCAAAAATTACATCACCTTGACCTACTTTTGACATTTTATGGCTATTTTCATATCTCAAGTACTGGTTGACCTAGAATTGTTAAACTTTGTCAGTTGGGGCATCTTTGGTTTTCGGAGAATGTGGACCAAAAAGTAGGTCATGGTGACCTACTTTTGAATATCTCAGGTACTTATTGGCTTAGAATCATCAAACTTTGTCTGTTGATGTATCTTGGGTTTTCGAAAATCGTCTACAAAAAATTAGGTCGCAGTGACCTACTTTTGACATTATATGGCTATATTTAAGTATCTTGAGTACTTATTGGCTTAGAATAATCAGACTTTGTCAGTAGATGCATTTTGGGTTTTCCAAGGATGTAGTCAAAAAAATAGGTCATGGTGACCTACTTTTGACATTTTATGGGTATATTTAAGTATATCAGGTACATATCGGCTTAGAATCATCAAACTTTGTCAGTTGATGCATCTTGAGTTTTCGGGGATCGCAAACCAAAAATTACATCACCTTGACCTACTTTTGACATTTTATGGCTATTTTCATATCTCAAGTACTGGTTGACCTAGAATTGTTAAACTTTGTCAGTTGGGGCATCATTGGTTTTCGGAGAATGTGGACCAAAAAAGTAGGTCATGGTGACCTACTGTTGAATATCTCAGGTACTTATTGGCTTAGAATCATCAAACTTTGTCTGTTGATGTATCTTGGGTTTTCGAAAATTGTCTACAAAAAATTAGGTTGCAGTGACCTACTTTTGACATTATATGGCTATATTTAAGTATCTTGAGTACTTATTGGCTTAGAATAATCAGACTTTGTCAGTAGATGCATTTTGGGTTTTCCAAGGATGTAGTCAAAAAAATAGGTCATGGTGACCTACTTTTGACATTTTATGGGTATATTTAAGTATATCAGGTACATATCGGCTTAGAATCATCAAACTTTGTCAGTTGATGCATCTTGAGTTTTTGGGGATCGCAAACCAAAAATTACATCACCTTGACCTACTTTTGACATTTTATGGCTATTTTCATATCTCAAGTACTGGTTGACCTAGAATTGTTAAACTTTGTCAGTTGGGGCATCTTTGGTTTTCGGAGAATGTGGACCAAAAAGTAGGTCATGGTGACGTACTTTTGAATATCTCAGGTACTTATTGGCTTAGAATCATCAAACTTTGTTAGTTGATGTATCTTGGGTTTTCAAAGAATGTAGACAAAAAAAGTAGGTCATGGTGACCTACTTTTAAATATCTCAAATACTTATTGGCTTAGAATCTTCAATCTTTGTCTATTAATGCATCTTGAGTCCTCAGAAAACTTCAATCTTAAAGTAGGTCACTGTGACGTACTTATGGTTTTTTATAGCTTTATTATTAAAAATATCTACAGTCCTAATTGGCTAAGAATCATCAAACTTTGTCAGTTGATGCAACTTGGGTCTTAGGATACTTAGGGCTAGAGGCTTCAAATAGAAGTGATAGATTGTACAATTTATCAGAAGAGCGATTCAAGGCCCTTGGGCCTCTTGTAATGCTGCACAACATTGCCTGTTTATAATTAATATTGTAAATATGCTTGTTATATGGATTGTATGCATCTTTTTGATGTGTTTCAAATCATGCAATGTATATTTATATTAATTAGACTTTTTTTAATGACAAAACTTGTAAAGCACCAAAGCAGTATTAACAAAATGCTTTTTCTTTATTTTATACAGGCCCCCATATAGTCAGCTTTTCTGCAAGTCATCGACATATTAACCAAGTAAAACCCATTGCATCCCTTCACTGCCACTGCTTACGCAGACTGTATAGTAATTCCTCATCTAACACACCACAAAGGCCTCAGAATGAACAGGAGTCTAAAGCAAAGCCAGAGGAAGGCCCAAAAGACACCCCAAACACTAGTCAAGAGGGTACAAAAGCTGGTGATGCTCCAGTAAAGAAACTCTCAGTCTTTCAGAGGTTCAAACAAACTTACAAAGAACATGGCAAAGTACTTATCATTGTTGAGATAGTGACTTCAATATTTTGGTATGGGCTGTTTTACATCATTGTAAGTTGGTAAGTAATAGTTTGTTCTTAATGAATAGTCACAATGGTCTAGAATTATAGAATCCTCATAGCACATACTTTCAAATTTATATATATACATTTGTGGTATCTCTCCATTATATAAACATACAGAGAGAAAATATCTTCAATTCTGTATGAAGTTTGTCAGAGGTCAGAGGTCAATACGTGACCTAATCACACGGCGCAATAATATCTACCGGTACATAAATTATAAAATGACCTGCTCTACTTGCTTTTCCTGTATAAAAATGAATAAAATAAGCAAGTAAAATAATAATTATTTTATTTCAAATGTAAACAAGTATTTCATACAGTTTTTGGGCTATCGATTCAACCTGTGTACATAGAGAAAATTAGGAGCCTAGCGTTTGTTTACATTCTTCTTCACTTTTGTCAGCTGCACAGTCTCTAACGTTCATCCTTATTTTTTGGATAGACCTTTGGTTAAATTTTCATGATAAACTTTTATTTTATCTTTAAATTTTACTCATGATAAATGTGTAAATCTGTTGGAAAATATCTTTGCAATCATGCCATGAACAGCTGCCAAACACCTCGGTGTTTTCGTAGTTCAATACACAAGCGCCTGTGGTTCAATATAAAGCTGTCGCCAGTGTCTCCGTGTTTATCAGTGTTTTACGATAAGTATGCCTTTAGTTACTGAAACCGTGGAATATTTTTGATCAAATTGCAAATTAACTGGCTCGGACAAGTGTCTCAGTCCATCGGATCCATCCATCCCTTTCCAGCGACCGAAATTCCTCCAACTTTTTATCATCAAACTTCGGACGTGTTTCTTGTATCTTTTCAGCATCGATTATCATTTTCACGAATAAAATATTCCCAGACAACAATCTGTTCACTATTACTGATCACAAGTAGCCTTTCACAAAATATTCCCTTCGAAATAGATTCCCTAGCCTAATAAATTTGAAGCGTAACCGCCATGCAAGCCGATTTACACCTTGCGTCATTTTTCAAAATCTACGACGGACGGTTAGTGCAATAATTAAACTCAAAAATATTCAATTGTCTGTCTCAAATGTATATATAAGTAATAAATAACAAGTTTATAAACTTCAATGGGAATTGAAGTGGGTCGGTACGTGATCAAATCTTCTGAGAAGGCCTTCGGCCTTCACAGGATTTGATCACGTGACCGACCCACTTCAATTCCCATTGAAGTTTATAAACTTGTTATTTATTTCTTAAGAAAAAGAAAACCCAAGACCATAAACTGATGAGAACAGACTGAAGCCAAAATTTCAAATCAATATAACTTTGGAAAGAAGTTTGGTAACAGAACAAGATTTTTATCATATGTTTAATTTAAAATTTGAATATGATACAAACCTGCAAATTTTTGATAAATATGTATTATAAATGAAAAGATACTCAAAATCAGAATTTTGACTTAAGTTTGGTCTCTAGAAAGTTCTCTCGTGTATAATTTTTAAGTTAGGTTACATGTAGTTATAGAGCTAAATAACTCCATAGGCGTCGGAACCGGGGGGGCTGGGGGGGCTTAGCCCCCCCACTTTTTTAGCTCACCTGAGCCGAAGGCTCAAGTGAGCTTTTCTGATCACATTTTGTCCGGCGTCTGTCTGTCCGTCTGTCTGTAAACTTTTCACATTTTCGACTTCTTCTCAAGAACCGCTGGGCCAATTTCAACCAAACTTGCCACAAAGTATCCTTGGGTGAAGGGGATTCAAGTTTGTTCAAATGAAGGGCCACGCCCTCATTCAAGGGGAGATAATTGGGAATAAATGAAAATTTGGTGGCATATTTTAAAAATCTTCTTCTCAAGAACCACTGGGCCTATCAAAGTTTTACATAGGAATATATAGGAAAAATCTTTAAAAAATTTTTTCTCAAGAACCACTGGGACAGGAAAGATGAAACTCATGTGGAATCATCCTCAGGTAGTGTAGATTGAAGTTTGTTCAAGTCATGACCCCCGGGGGTAGGGCGGGGTGAAAATGGCTGATCAAAGTTTTACATAGGAATATATTGGAAAAATCTTTAAAAATCTTCTTCTCAAGAACCACTGGGACAGGAAAGATGAAACTCATGTGGAATCATCCTCAGGTAGTGTAGATTGAAGTTTGTTCAAGTCATGACCCCCGGGGGTAGGGCGGGGCCAAAATGGCCGATCAAAGTTTTACATAGGAATATATAGGAAAAATCTTTAAAAATCTTCTTCTCAAGAACCACTGGGACAGGAAAGATGAAACTCATGTGGAATCATCCTCATGTAATGTAGATTCTAGTTCGTTCAAATTATGATCCCTTTGGGGTTAAAATTCAAGCCCACCCCCCCCCCCCCTAACTTAAGTTAAATTTCAGGTCTGATCTGATATGTGTTTTTTCCTAGCTGATGTGCTCAGGTGAGCGCTGTGGCCCCTGGGCCTCTTGTTTCCAAATATATACTTAGTATAGACATTGAACATATCTTCGTAGGTTTAGCCCCCCCACTTTCCACAGATATGTCTAAGTTTAGGTTAAAAATGGGGAAAGTGGTGGTGTTTGGAGGAAAATTTTTGGTACTAGAGTTTGAATCTACACCCCCCCCCCCCCCCCCCCCCCCACCCCCAACGAAATAGGGTTTTCACGTTTGGGAACTAAACATTTCCTTTTTTTTTTTTTTTTTTCCTTGTCAGGTTTTTTTTTTTGAAGGTACAAAAATTTTTTTTTACACTTAGCCCCCCACTTTCAAATAGCTTCCGACGCCAATGAACTCATTTGTGCTTCTTGCATAGCTTTAAGCTTTTGTTTAGTGGATCATATCTCATGTTTCCTTCTTTCTCTTTCTTTTAAATATGTAAAAGTCCAGTAATATAATTGAAATAATAAAACATCATAGCCATTTTAAGTTTAAAAAGACAATTTCATAATGTGTTTAATATTTTTCCTTTCAGTGGTGTAGATGTCATATCACTGCTAGAGAAATTGGGACTTAGTGAGACAATGATGAAACCATTCCATTCTACAGGCCTTGGAGACTATTTGCTGGCATTTTTACTGTACAAATTGATATCCCCCATCCGTTATGCTGTCACATTAGGGGGGACTGGCTATATTATCAGATTAATGAGGAAAAGAGGAAAGATACCCCAAGTGACAGAAAGTACAAAACTCAGGACCCTGTATAAAGACAGTAAAGAGGAAATCAAGGACAAAAGTTCAAAGTTCAGGGAGAGGAGAAGGTCAAGTGTTAAGGCCAGAGGAAGAAGGAAACGGAATCAGAAATGATGAACTAGTCAGAACTTTCTTCTTTTCTGTGCCAAAGTCAGATCTGTGATATATTATTTTTCTGCATATCACCTAGTGCTCAATTAACTTTGTATTGAATTGTTATATAATTGGAAATGATTAGAGTAGAGTTTAGTTTGTATTTAAAAAGTGTTATTACAATAGTAAGCTTCTGATTGATTTTGGTCAACTATCAGTAGCTTTCCATGATATGGAATTCAGAGCCTGAATTATTCACATAAAAAAGTCATGTAATGTGGTGTCCAATTCATCCGCGTAATTTGCAGAAAAGATGTTGTGATCAATCAATGGTACAAGGATGTGAAACTTTGGGTTTGGATTCATTGAAGATAAAAAAAATGTATTGAAGACAATAATTACCGGTAGCAAATATGCAAAGAAGGAGTATGTTTAAACTGACAGTGTAAAAGTCATCTCTTATTTGCTTCAAAAGTTGTAACCAAGGTTAAATGAAAATAAGTAGACCAAAGTTCAAGGCCAAGGACGCAAGAAAAAAAAACCCATTTAAACCAAAGCCCTAGCCCTAAACGTTCAAAAGTTATGGCCAAGGTTCAAGTTTTTAAAAAGTAGGTCAAACTCCAGGGTCAGGTCAAAGTTGTTGGTTTTTAAAGGAAGGTCTTGTCACAAGGATTACCGTATATACTCGCTTATAAGTCGGACTTTTGGGAGTTAATCTCTGGTCCAAAACTCTATGTCCGACTTATAGGCGAGCTATAAAATTGATGGTATTATATGAGGTCGGTCCCTCTGATATATAAGCTTAATTAATACAACCGACTTATAGGCGGACCGACTTATAGGCGAGTATATATGGTATATATGTGAAGTATGAAAGCCTTAGCCCCAACCGTTCAGAAGTTATGGCCAAGGTTAAAAGTTTTTATAAAATAGGCCAAACTCCAAGATTGAAGTCAAAAGGTAAAAGATGTTGGTATCCAATGAAAGGTCTTACAAGAATTACATATGTGAAGTTTGAAAGCCCTAGCTCTTACCGTTCAAAAGTTATGGCAAAGGTTAAAATTTTTAAAGAACATAAACCTCTAAGGTCAAGGTCAAAAGGTCATGTTGGTATATGAAAGGTCCTGTCACAAAGAATACACATATGAAGTATGAAAGTCCTAGTATCTACCGTTCAAAAGTTATGGCCAAAGTACAAGTTTGGAATTTTTTTGTAAAAGTGTGTCCAACTCCAAAGTCAAAAGGTCATTTTTGGTGGTACCCAAAGAAAAGTCTTGTCACAAGGAATACACGTATAAATGTCATAGCTCTACTAAATGAAAAGTTATGAGCAAGGTTAAAGTTTTTGCGGACAAACAGACAGACGGACGGACACGACAAAAACTATATACCCCCGAATCTTTGATTAAGGGGGCATTAAAACAAAACAACAAATGAGAGAAGGAATGAGGAAGATAGACAAAACAGGATTACCAGGGAAATTCAAGGCATGGGTTTACTAACATGGTCTCTTACCACGCTTAGCCTGACCATTGATTTATACGAGATTTTAACAGCAACAGTGGAGACAGATTTGAGGGAGTCGTCAATAAACACTTCAGGAAATGCTTTGGAGAAATGCTTTTGTTCAATCAGCTTATATTGCAAATCAGCAAAACTACAACTTCTTCCTGTGACATCAAGAATTATCAAGAGTAGAAAATTTTATGGCCAGCAAAGCAAGACTTGTCATGACCTTATATTAAAAGGCTCAAGAGATGATAAGGTCCAATTATCTGGAGTAGAAGTACTGACAGGGTGAAAATAGTCAGCAGCAAAGGCAGTAGAAGAGGTGGAGAGCAGATTGAGACACGAAGACATTGTAGGAACGGTGGTGGTGGGAAGACAAGGTCTAGGGACGTCCAAAAGCAGTCTTGGAAGAAGGTTGACACAAAGGAGAGATGTAACATTTTGCAGAAAGATATTCAAGCCAGAGAGGAAGAAAATCCACAAGCTAAGGCAGTGGATATGGAAGTCCAGGGTGCTTGGACAAGATGGGAAAGACCAACAGACACTATCCTTGGCAGAAATCTGGAAAAATGCAGTTCCAACTACAATTACTACTATGCTCAGAGTATGATCTGCTACCAACACCAGCCAATCTCCATAGAACTGATCTCATAGAAACACCAGAGTGTCCTCTCTGGAAAAAGAGGAACCCTACAGCACATTCTATCTTCCTGCCAGGTGGCATTATCAATAGGGAAGATACATATGGCGTCATAATCAGGTTCTTAAAGAGATAGCAGACACTATAGAGAGTTAGCAGAAGAATAAAAGCAAACAGACAATTGTGAAACATACAAGATTTGCTTTGTAAAAGAGGTTGAAACAACAAAGAAGAAAGAAGAGAGGACCTATGGAATACTTAACCAGGCAGACGATCGGAAGCTGGGATAGATCTAGGACAGAAACTAAAATTCCCAGAGGTAATTCTGACTAATTTCAGGCCTGATATGGTACTGTGGTCGTCAAGTATGTAACAAAGAAGATCATTTTCATGTAGCTGGCAGTTTCCTGGGAAGAAAGATGTGAGGAAGCATATGAAACTAAGAAGACAAAAAATATGACGCATTGCTGGCAGAATGTAGGGAGGAAGGATTGCGACCTGGAACTATCCAGAAGGTTTGGGATTCCCAACACAGTCAGTTTGGAGGTTGTTCTCTGTGTTAGGGATGACAGGGAGAAGCAGGAGAGGAGCAGTCCAAAAGATGACCCAAGCAGCAGAAGGATCATCGTGCTGGTTTATAAAGAGAGAGACTAGTACCGGTAGCTGAATACCCAACATCAACACGCAGTGACATTATCACTGTGGACCCCCCATCCTGAGAGTGTACCAAGTAACTTTTATTAAATATGATAAAATTAATCTACTAATGTGAAATTAAGTACTTTTGATTAAAATTCGTCTTAAAAAATCTTTAAAAATATGATTTTTTAAAAAAGATTAGCCCATTGGACATTGGCAATCGGCAATGGCTATATAATTGTGGTGGGGTTCTGGTAGTACTTCATCTCGACGAAAAAAGAAACGACTGGCATTAAAAACCGTTTACATGTACAAACTCTATAAGGCATTAAATTAAATGCCTTAGCTCGTAAATAAATATAAATTTACTTCATATTTCAACAATAAAATGCTTCTTTGATGTTATCAAGGGAATTCTGAACATCGAAGCGGCAAACGTTGCAGAAAAATACATAATCCACTAAGTGTTTTTCCCCGTAATAAACAGATAAACTGAAATGGTTTTCATAAGAAATAAAGTGGATGTAGTAGTAAAGTGTTATAAATATGAAAAAAAACTATAAACACCGCAAAAATTCAAACTATTTTAAAATATTATCAAGCATATCCATATCGTACAATTTTTAATATGGAAGTTACATTTACATATTTTTTATATTGAAATATGTTTCGTTCAGCTTCCGTATTGAAAAGGTCAAACTTTTCAAAGTTATATTTTGCCTGTGAAGATGAATAAATAAGAATAATTATTCGTTTTACATCCAAAAATGCATGAATGTGTGTTATGCAGAAAACCCAATATTTGATAAGTGTATTTCCTTTAGGACATGTCTTTTAGGGAGTCCTATATCTTTGAAGGTCACCCTTATATTTCATTGAGACATTTGTGTTTCTTTGATTGGTATGTTTACTTCCTACATGCAAATCAATTGTAATTTTTCATTGTATAATCATTTATCAAACATTAAGAGATTCGAATTTCAATTAAAGGATATTATTTCCTTCTTTAAGTTCTATTTATATTCAGTTAGTTTTCAAAGATTAGTGTACATGTGTTAATTCTTCCTTTCAGCTATATTCTAACTCTAATTTGTTAATATCACTGGTGAAAAGACTTGTGACGGCAAGCTGAGGTTAAAAGGCTGAAACAGTAATACATATACAGTAGGTTCATCTTGACCATTGTCCAGATTTAATTTTTTGTCCTGGCACGAGCAGTAGTGACTGATAATTAATGAGAATATCTTCAATATACCACGGTATAGCTTCAGATTCAACAGCATATCACAGGCATGCAGTACTGTATTTCAGTATATGCTGGGGTGGGTGGGGGTATTTGACAACAAACCTACCATCTTCGTTAGCGAAGATGCAAACCTACAAAAAATTGAGAGAGAAAAAAATACATGTACTTGCGTATACTGAGTATGCTAATGAAGGTTGAAGCTTGTGTTTTTGTGCGGAAAGCATAATTTTGTGTTATGTTTTGTAAATGTTTATTCCACAACAACTGTTTTTACGTGTGTATTGGATTTTAATTTTATTTTTTTACCTTTTATTTAACTTTGTATGATAACAAATTAATTAAGTGTATTTAAGGGTTGTTTAATGTATTATATTTCCTGGTTTTATGAGACATAGCATATAAACGCACGTACTGCACGTCATTTGAAAAGGAAATGTTTCCAATACTGGCAAAAAAAGCTGTGTAAATTTTTTTATGTTTCCTTTTCATTTAGAAAAAATTTTCAACCATGCAATCTTACAGTGGCAGACGATTTTTTTGATATTTATCTCAAAGATTAGGGGGGCATGTCGCGATTGTCTTTATTGACAAACAAACAAACCGTTCAGACACCAAAATCACCTCATCCAATCGATCGATTACACATTGTGCTAATATTAAAAATGACAGGAGACCGAGTTTTAAATTAACGTTAATATATCGGGAATTTAAGGTCAACCTTCGTATGAGTCAACGTGTACAGATTTAAATTTTCACTTTGGATATCACCCCTATATATATGTTGCTTGTGTCAGTGTCTCGTGAATTGTTGCTGTGGAATAAACATTAACAGAACACAACACAAATATCTACAGGAATCGGAAACTTACACGAATATAAATTACTTGAGAGATTTGTAGAACAGGACTTTTTACAGCCTTTGGACCAGAGCGTGAAAAAACAGTTCGTGAAAAGGGGGCGTTCCCTAGACTGGCTTATGTTATCATCATAATGGGGCATACAACGGTCCGATCCTGCATATGTACTGAAATTATGTAGAATACACGTATATGGACATAATTTGTGTGCACAGAGGATAGCTTAATCAGACAGGTAATTTTCAAAGTTAAAGTCTAACTACAGAACTGCCATGCTTGTGAATATTTAATTCCTGTTTTAACCATATATGGTCTAAACTTTTATCTTACATATATCTATAGATGTATTATGAAAAATATTAATACCGTTGAGGTAATAAACTATGTCAATGCCATAATATTCTTGTTTTAAAAAATGGCAAACCGTATATGCACACATAGGAAACTAAATAATCGAATTCTTGGAATTTTCATCTCAACTCCTTATAAGAGGAATATCGGTATTTATGTTGTACACCTGTACATTGCACATTGACAGGTGAAGAGAGGTTATAAATACCTGGAATATTTCATAAAACAAAAGTTACAAATCCTTTTTCGTCTGACATTTTACCTAAGAATATTCAGTTGAAGTTTGTAACAGAAGAAAGACTAAACAAAAATTGAGTATTGTGACCTTATTCTTGTCTGTACCACGATCAGGAAGTCATCACTTTAAACGACATGATTATGTTCACATATATATACTTCATACCGCCTGGAGTCAAAAATGTAATTCCGTGAATAATGACTATGCCTGTGTTCTGTATCAGTTTATACTTCTTTAGAAACTTATTAAAAGCATAGTACTATTTTGCTTGGTGTGTACAGTTCATTCAAGTTTAAAAATGAACGTAGATTTTCCTTATATTTATTTCCTGTGTTCTCATCGCATTTAAAAAAAAAAATCTTTCTTGTATTCACACACGGAATTTTTTATCGTTTCAGGAAAAGTTTAAAGTAGTACTGCTATGAGCACAAACAGACGACCAAATGGTCGCGCCTCCGGCCCCCCGACTGGGTCACGGAGCGGCCCCGAGGGAAAGTCCAAACAAATTAAACTGGTTCTGCTGGGAGAATCTGGAGTAGGCAAAAGTAGCATAGCCTTAAGATTTGTTCGAGGGGAATTCAACGAGAATGGAGAAGCTACAATTGGAGGTACCTTGGCCAGACCTTAGGCCTGCAATTGGCCAAAAGTTAATTGACTTTCCAAACTCTAAGAAACACACCTAATTTTCCTTTTAAAAACCGTACAAAGCACAATATTTTTTAAAATGAACACTGGCTCACAATATTACGTTTTCAGGTAAATCCTGTTTAATTACACTTTTACCTCTTGTTAATTGTAGCAGTGATCGACTTTTACATTTAGCTTCTGTTTTTAATTCCAGCTGCTTATTTGACAAAAACAATAAATGTCCTTCAGTCTGCGACAATTAAGTTCGACATTTGGGATACTGCGGGACAAGAAAGGTACCACAGTTTAGCCCCTATGTATTATCGCGGGGCACCTGCTGCCGTTGTGGTCTATGACATCACAAGCCAGGTACGTAATAATAAGGACTACCCAGAACGCCTTGTTTGACCATATATTGTAATTTTATTTCTAAAAATGTATAAATCAGGATAAAAAATCAGTAAGTCTGCTGGAGAAATATTACGATCTGAAGCACTATTTTGCCCTTATCAACTTAATGAAATCAACAAAGAATTAAAACATCGTTATTTACTGCAGAAAATACCTAATTTAACAAATATACATTCAGGTATATATGTATACTGAGTATTCATATATAAATAAATGACTTTTATATTTATAACGAAAAACTAGAAAGAAAACACCCTGGCTTTATTCTGATTACGGGTGCTCCTGAAATTTCAGAAGATAAGAAAGACATTTTTAATCTATTCATGCGAATGCAGTTGAGCTATAAGGAGGAATTTGAATTCGATACGTGGTTTGTATAGAGCAACAGCTGCAAATATTGTCTCTGTCTCTACAAGTTTTTGCAAATTTGGGAGAGGGGACGAATTTCTCGGAATTGAGAAGTAGAGCACTATAAAGCAAAGTATCTTGACAAGTAATCCCAACCCCTGAAACATTTTATTACCACTTACGAAAGAGGGGATGAAAAATTTATTCTATGTACAAGCCCAGAATATTTTTGCTTTTGTTATAGAGAAGGACCCTTTCTTCAATATCTAACGAATCTAGTGTACAAAATCGATGTATGTGTATATTATGACATAATCCCTCAGTAATTTGAAAATTCACTTTTTTAATTAAAAAATGATTTACCTGAGAGTAATTTTGTAAAATAAAGTTAATTATTAGACCAGATTACATTTACCTATATATACGCAACCAAGTAAACAAAAAAATCCCATAAAGAGAGCTTTATCGCGCTGGTTTCGTGTCAATATCTAGTTACCAATGCTGGGCCTTATTATGTTCCCCAAACGAAGTTGGGGAACATATTGTTTTTACTCTGTTTCTTATTATTATGTTCCCCAAACGAAGTTGGGGAACATATTGTTTTTACTCTGTTTCTTATTATTATTTTTCTTCTTCCTGGGCACTTATTTGTCCGCGAATGATCTTGTAAACTGTTCATCCGATGCAGGTAAAACCTTTTCAGGGTAAGTAGACATGTTACGTAGATTTGCGGAATCAAGGTCATTTTGCGCGCACGTGCTTGTAAGAGCGCGCACGTGCAACACGTGAAATGACCAATATAATAGATGAAGCAGTAATTTTTCTATATTTTGATGAAATGTTTTGAAAATAATAATATAAGTATATATTAGTACTATAGACAACAGGATATGGTCAAATTATCATGAACTCACGCACATGCACATGCGCTTCGCTCTGATTGGCTGAAACTAAAGTCTCAATATCTTTCTTATTTTTTGACAAAATACTTTGAAATTTTAAATATAGTCATACATTAGAAGGTTCTACAATGTGATATACAAGAATTTTCAGGAAAGCATGTGCATGCACGTGTGCTGCAATCTGATTGGCTTAAACTTTAAATGCCTATAACTTTCTTATTTCTCAATAAATCAGGATAAAATTTAGAATATGAATAGGTATAATAGATACCTACATTATGCTACTATCAAAATTGAAAGTATGGACATGCAAGCACTTGCGCATGCGCAATGCGTAAAATGACTAAAATACTTGAAAAATAGTAATATTTATCTCTGTATTATTTCCTTTGATTCTCAGGAATTCTTTAGCAAACATGCCATGATTATCTTGCATATGCATGCGCGGGCATGTGAAATGTTAAATAATATATAGTTGATATCATTGTAATTTTTATATTCTTAAATAGAATCCGTCGAATCTGAGCAAATAAAAAAAGTCTTACAGGAATAAGGCACAAAAAGGGATCTGGGGAGCATTTGGGGAACATCTGTAACGGTCCCCGTTACAATTAGCACTAGTTATGTTCCCCAAACGGAGTTTGGGAACATATTGTTTTTACTCTGTTTCTTATTATTATTATTATTATTTTTTTTCTTATTTGTTCTCCGGTACTTTTTTGTCCGCGAGTGTTCTCAGAAACTGTTCACCCAACTGAGCTAAAACCTTTTTAGGGTTAATAGGTGTGTAGTATAGGTGTGCGGAACGAAGGTCATTTTGCGCGCATACGCCTGCACGTGCGTGCGCGTGAAATGAGTGAATTGACTGATATACTAAATATAGCTATAACTTTTACATTTTTTGATGAAATGCTTTGAAACTCATTACATAAGGATATATTAAAAGTGTTAATAATATGACACTGTCAAATTAGCATGAACTCACGCGCATGCACGTGCGCCTTCCCCTGATTGGCTGAAACAAAAATCTCAATATCTCTTTTGTTTTCCCACGAAATGCTTTGAAATTTTTAACATTGTCATGAATTAGGATATCCTACAATATAATATGGAAAAAAATTCATGAAATCACGCGCATGCACGTGCGCTGCAATCTGATTGGCTGAAACTTTAAATGGCTATATCTCCTTTATTTTTTGACGAAATGCTTTGAAATTTAAAACATAGTCATGCACTAGGATATCCTGCAATATGATGTACAAAAAAATTCAAGAAATCACGCGCATGCACGTGTGCTGCAATCTGATTGGCTGAAACTTTAAATAGCCATATCTCCTTTGCTTTTTGACGAAATGCTTTGAAATTTAAAACATAGTTATGCATTAGGATATTCTACAATATGATTTAGAAAAAAATTCTTGAAATCACGTGGATGCACGTGTGCTGCAATCTGATTGGCTGAAACTTGAAATGGCGATAATTCCCTAGGTTTTCAACCAAACAGGATGGGATTTAGAAAATAGATAGATATAAGGGCCTCCTACAAGAAGGTATGGTCATCATGCACGTGTACGCACGTGCGTGCATTTGGAACAAGAGAAATTGAAAATACACTTGAATGAGTGATTTTTAATACTTTTGGACTAAATGCTTTCATAAAAAGTATATTTTAATATATAGAAAGTGTAGACAAGATTATATGATCATTATTCACGTGCATTCACATGGGCAGGCGTGCAATGTTAAAATTTGAATATAATTGGTATCCGTTTGGGAAAACGTTGTTAAAGTAAAAAATGCACAGATGTTGTCTTATTTAATAAGGCTTACAGGGAATATGGCACCAAAAGGGGAGTTGGGGAGCGTTTGGGGAACATCTGTAACGGTTCCCGTTACAATTAGCACTAGTTATTATTATTATTATTATTATTATTTTTCTTCTTCTTCCTGGGTACTTTTTTGTCCGGGAATGATCTTGTAAACTGTTCGTCCCAGGTAGGTAAAACCTTTTTAGGGTAAGTAGACATGTTATGCAGATTTGCGGAATCAAGGTCATTTTGCGCGCACGTGCTTGCAAGAGCGCGCACGTGCAACACTTGAAATAACCAATATAATAGATATAGTCGGAACTTTTCTATTTTTTGATAAAATGCTTTGAAACTCATAATGTAAGGATACATTAGTAGTATAGACAAGTTGGCATGGTCAAAATAGCAAGATCTCACGCGCATGCACGTGCGCTTTGCTCTGATTGGCTGAAACTAAAGTCTCAATATCTTTCTCGTTTCTTGTCATAATCTTTTGAAATTTTGAACATGGTCCTACATTATGAAGATCTACAGCATGATATATTAAAATTTTAATAAAAGCATGCGCATGCGCACGTGCTGTAATCTGATTGGCTAAAACTTTAAATGGCTATATCTCCTTTGTTTTTTGACGAAATGCTTTGAAATTTAAAACATAGTCATGCATTACGATATCCTAAAATATGATATAGAAAATATTCATGAAATCACGCGCATGCACGTGTGCTGCAATCTGATTGGCTGAAACTTCAAATGGCTATAACTCTCTTGTTTTTCAACCAAACAGGAGGAGATTTAGAACATGGATATATATAAGGGACTCCTACAATAAAGTGTAGTCATTATGCACGTGCTTGCACGTGCGTGCACGTGAAATGAGTAAAATAAAAAATACACTCGAATGAGTGCATTTTTTAATACTTTTGGATTAAATGCTTTGATATTATTAAAATTTAAGATAGTGTAGACAAGATAATATGGTCGTTACGCACATGAACACGCGTGCAATGCCTATTTTTTTAAATATATTTTGTATTTTTCTTGGAAGACCTTGATTAAGTCTAAATTCCATAAAGTATTTCGTATTTAATAGAGATAACAGGGAATATGGCACCAAAAGGGAGTTGGGGAGCGTTTGGGGAACATCTGTAACGGTCCCCGTTACAATTAGCACTAGTTGTGTTTGATTAACATCGTACCTGGCCCCAAGACCATCGACTGAGAACAGACTTAAAAAAATTCAAATCTATATATTTTTCGGAAATAATTTTGATAACAATTCAAAATTTTTACCATGTGTTTAATTTGGAATATTTAACAAACCTGCAAATTTTTAATATGCTTGTAGTATGTATTAGAATTCACAAGCTATTCCAAATCAAAATTTTGGTCCTGTTCTCAGTTTATTGTCTTTATTAAGGCTGTTCTTATTTTTGCGACCTTTAAAGGACTCCCTGCGATTTTAGTTTTGTTTTCAGTTTCGAAAAAATACTATGCTTCACTGTTTGGAGATTTCTTAAATTTGTTGCTTTTCTGTAGTGTAATCGTGTATATACATTTTTTGCTCTAACTTGCTTTTATCTAATTTTTGTCTCCATGGCTTCGTTTTACAACACTTTAAAAGCATGTATGCTTTGTTTTACTTTTCATTATTCTAAGTGGTGTGGGATTTTTGGCACTTAATTGTGTAACGTCCTGTCAGAGCTCTTTAAGATGTCTACTTTTGCATGCTACTCACATTTCTGCTATTCTTTTTCTAGACTTCCTTTTCACGCGCTCAAACTTGGGTTAAGGAGCTCATTCAGCAAGCTAACTCTCAGATCGTCATTGCTTTAGTGGGCAATAAGGCCGATATGGCCAGCGAAAACAGGGTGATAAGCAAAGAGGTAAGAAACACCATTTTGTACATATTACAGGTTTCCTTTAAGGAGGCTCAACGATGGACAAGGGAGATCATTGATTTTGGTGGATCTTGTAATTATATTATGCTGCTGGGAAATAAATGTGACTTAGCCGATGGTTGTCGAGAAGTGTCCTATGAGGTATGACTGTCTTTACACAATAAGGAAGCTGCAGTCAAGAGTACTTAATTTGGTCGAACCTGCGTATGATACATGATGACTGTTCTTTGTAACTTGTAAACGGTAGTAAAATGTTCGTACTGTTGGTTTCGGTATGAATTTTAAAAGTTTTTTTTTTAAAAACTTACTTTTCGACATTTCTGTTGTTTTTAGAAAGTGCAATTTAAGACAATGAAGAGATAAGCTACAGAACTGTAGAATTAAGGTTTTTTATGTTATATTTTAGTCTTTGGCCATGAGCATGGTCAAAGAACTAAAATCTTTTTTTTAACCACAACGCTACAGTTCTGCAGCAAAAAAGAAGTGTTACACACCAACAGAATATATGAAACTTTTGACCTTGACATTTAATCTTTTTACCTCAAAATCAATAGGGGCCCTCCTTAGGCCAAAGAAAGTATTTAGAAAAGCCAAGAAAACTAAAGTTGAAAAATCTGAAGAATGTTATTTGCAATGTATGAATTTCTTACCTTGACCTTTGTACCATTATATTTTTCACCTGTACTCTAATTGTTTTGATCCACTTCATTTGAGTGCATATGCTTGAGAGTTTTCATAGAAATCTTGAAAAAATTGAAGCATAAATGCATCCTTACTTTGCATTATCATGCCATTTCCAAAGAAAAAAATGTTTTGACATCAGGTTTTTTTTTATTTTAGGAGGGCAGTGAATTTGCAAGTAGTAATGGACTGATGTTCATGGAGGTGTCTGCCAAAACAGGAATGAATGTCGAAGAAGTTTTCCACAACCTAGGTATGTGTCTCTTGATATTGTTTTTTTTTTAACGTTTATAATTTATAGTATTCTTCTTTTAAAACATGACACTCCTCCGTTACGACATGTTTATATACATGTATATATGTTTTAAAGATGGATTTATAAAGAATTTCCTTTTCGGCATATTCGTTAAGATCCTTTTGAAATCAATAGATATAAAGCAGAATCGTAATTTTTCTTGAAAAAATCTGACAAATTAATTGTAAGAAAGAGAAGGGAAAGGGAACGATCCTCTGCTTATTAGTACAATTCTCAGTTAAGGCGTCTGTCAAATGGCGAATAGATTCTCATTTGTTAAGAAATTAATAACATCAGAAACTTAAAATTGTTGTTGACAAAGATGGGTATTTCTACACTCATTGACATTTGCCCCAATTTCTATCCCATATATATTTCAACAGTGAATGAGAGCTGTGTATATTTCAGATGTTAATTATGTAACGTCGAGAATGCCACGCCTTACTGAAAGTCCAAGGTTAACTGAGAATTGTACTACATTGATATTTTACGAGTTTTTTCTGCAATAACCAGTTTTCTAATAGAAAAGGAGATCATAATAAAATCCAAGCAAATTAAGTGTACGATTTAAAAAATTATCATTTTATCACATAGAGTGTATATAAAGGAAATGTAGTATTGTATGCAAAAAAAAATATATGGTATTAAAAATAGGATTTTCAAGTTTGTGCAATTTCCTTTTTTTTCTTTTTTTTTTTTTGCTTGTCAAAACAGGTAAGTAAAAAAAAAATTCTACTTTCAAAAACAATTAATTAGTAGAATCTAGGAATGGTATTTAATATCATTTGGATGAGTTATCTATACGTATTTACAATTGCCTTTCTTTCATACAGCTACCAAAATAGCCTCTCAGTCAACACCGGAAGCGAAATCAACCACCGTCCGTCCGACCACAGTAGAAGGCACTGGAAAAAGTGGATGTTCTTGTTGAAAACTGCAGTTGCATAGATAATCAGTGATTTAGGATTAACATGGCATTGTTTTTTTGTGATAATCTAACAATATTCTGTTGAAGAAATGCTCCTTGGACTTCGTCTTGAACAATTGTGGTTTATATTTTGCTGATATATGTAAAACATGTTCAACCTGTGATAATATTGCAAATGTCACCTTGTGCATCATCATGTACACTTGAGATAATCTGAAGGGGATTTTATGGTCCAACTATTACGAATTGCACATTTATCAGCACGTGTAAATATGATATCTTGGTGCAGACAAGTACAAATACCGGTCCACCTTGCTTGCTATTTTTATTTTAAAGGTTTATAATTAAATTATATAAGCTGTGACTTGCTTACCATATTACCAATGCTAAATTATATGACTTCGTTTGAAGGAAAGGAGACGTATTGTTTTGTCTTATTTCCTTCTTGTTTAATAAAATAATTATTTACGATATGTAAACATCAAAAAGGAAATTTTTATTTTGCACTTTTGTAAAATCCTTCACCTTTAACTATAGAAGTATTGAAGGACATAAAACAGCTCTTAATGCTATGAAAGAAAATTTCTTGTAAAATCGACTAGCATTTTATTATTATAGCGACCTGTGATGAAATTCTTAATAGATAAGGAAACGATAAATCAGTTTAATATGCCAACAAAGTATACGTATATTTTTTTCATTCAGTATATTTTTTTCTGTCGGAAACAAATGCAATGACTTTTACGGAAACACAGATACATGTATATTGTATCAATATGTAAACTGAGCATTTGTTGACCTTGAAAAAGTTGAGATGAATGTGCATTTTTCATGAAATTTTTTTCCCCTCTTGTGAATTTCACCTGTGCACAGGTCTTTATTATTTTTTTCATTCAATGTTCTAAAATAATATAATATGTATAGTGTACTTGCAATATAATGTGTCAACATGAAATTAATATATCTATGTACATGTATATTACTTACACTATACATGTATCTTTTTTTTAATTAATGTGAGATGAAATGAAACTCTTTTTTTATAAAAAGAAAATGTATTTCATAATTTTATTCAGATTTTCATTTAAAAAGTCTGCATTTCTGCATTGAGTGCATGTGCCTTAATTGTCTTCCTTTTGTGAAATTGCAACATCGTCTGCGTTTGCTTTCCACCTTCATGAAACGACACAGATCTATGATGCTATTTTAAAGACAAGATTCTTGTAGATTACCAGTCTCAATCTAGATTACCCAATGTTATCTTATTTCTCAGGAAGTCTGTAAGTTCCTGTCGTATCAAACCTTGATGTGGAGAAACTAATGAACTAAATAAATTTGACTCTTCTCTATACGAGGATGGTTGTCTATCGAAGTTCATCCCAGCTCTTGACAAGATACAAGTATATAAATGATCCCCATTTTTACCATTTCTCATGATATACCAATAAAATATATCCTTTATTTTACAAAAAAAAAAAAAAACAAAAAAAAACAACAAAAAAAAAAAAAAAAAAAAAAAAAAAACATTTATAAAGTTCCTCGATACTCTGATTAGAGAGATAACTCTTAATGATATAAATGTCTATTATTCCTTTATAAATTTGCCAAGTTGAAGTGTCTTTTTTGTCCAATTTTGCCCCGCAGTATCTGTGCTATAATTGTTTGTATTTTACTTATAAAATACATTTCTTTTGGAAAATCATTAAGGTTCAAGCAACATTTTATATGAGTGAGCAGAGGGTTTATGAACCTTAAAGTTTACATCACATTAGACAAAATATTGGAATACACAATATCTGGATTAAACAAGTTTCACTGTATTGAAGTAAAAAGATTTGCTTCTAATTTTGTTGAAGGTAGCTTGATGTAGTAGAGTGTTAACTTTACATAAAGAACTTTGGCCACAGACAGCTAAATGGCTCAAAAGGACCTTTAGCCCAAGTGAGCAAAAATTGTATATTTCTATGCAGTGATATACTCTGGGTTATAGTCAAAACATTCATCATTTGTGATTCTATTTGAAACATTTACAACGTTATTTTTCTAATAAACAGGTCTTTTATTTGTTTAATTTGATCGAATTTGCTTCAGTAATTTAAGATTTTTTTGTATTTAAATGGAGAGGAAAAGTTTTAAAAGTATTGATTTATGCTTTCAATCGTACTCGGTATGTTACAAAGGTTGAATCCTTGTTTTGTGAGTCTTTTTTGAGGTTTTAATTTATTCACTTGATCGACTTTGTCCCCATTGCTGCTGATAGGTGCCTGATTTTCCCCACTGTGATATTTACACCAGATCTAGATAGTCCCTCTTGTTTTTGAATTTCTGGGTGAGGGTGAGTGAACATCTACACACGTACTGCTGGATGAGGAAAGGAATGACGCCGATCAAAGTTCAGAGACAATGAAAAAGCACCGTAAGTTGACTTGTTTTAACAAGCCATCACTATTTTTTGACCAACCCGACCAAGGATAAGGGACCTGTAGGTCTTTGGAAGTCCTTGACTAATGGGAGGGAATCGTCTTTCACGGGATCTCGGTATGATTTGGCCAGTCCCCGCGTTTCTGGGATTGTATGCAGTTGATGTCAGTATAGTTTTGATTTGAGACAACTGTTACTGCACATGAAGTAGCATGTCGAATATCCCTGTATTTTATGGTTGAAAATTCGTCTTGAGAAGGTCTGTCTTTCACTGACAAATCTTTTTCAAATGTCTGACCATTCAAAGTTTCTGAAAGTTGCTGATCTTCCGATGTATCTGATGAAGAAGGCGTGTGAGGGTTTTTTGATGTGGCATTAATATTTGAAAGACTTGTGTTTATATTTGACTGATTGCCGCCATTTTCTTGTTGTGTTCCCGATATAACATCTCATATGGTATCTCATTATATTCATCGTCTACATCTTTGTCTATTTCAGGTGGAATTTCAAACAGATTACTTGAACTGTATCGATGATTCTCATATCCAAGACTGACGTGCTTCTAACGGGAAAAATGAAAACTGCATCAATATTTTCTCAGCAAGGACATTTGCTTCGGATACGAATAATCAATCATTGAAAAAAATCATTCTTAATTGAAAAAAAAAATTACATGTAGATCAAACTAAAATAGATATACCTTGTGTAATTTCAAAGAGTTTCTACTGAGCTGATATTTTTTCCTAAGAGCGTATAGAAAAGCCGCAAACAACACAAAACCAAAAATAACTCCAAGTACTGCTACAAGGGCCACAAACCACGCTAAAATAAAAAGAAAATATACGAATGACGCTGATGTGAATTATGTGATAATAACAATGAATCGTCAAAAATTATATCAACTTACGTTCTTTAATGATTGGCGTCTCTTCACCAGGGGCTAAGTTTCTGGGCGTGGCCAACTGTATGGATTCAGTTGTTGTGCTGTCAGACTCAGTAGGTGTGAACACTAAGGGCGTACTTGAAGTTTGGGCATCTGTTGTCGATATAAATGTTATTGATGTTGTCTTGGCAGCAGTGGTTGTAGATTTTATTGTAGGTTTTGCTGCTGTTGTAATTTCTGTAGTAGGCTTAAGCATTGTTGTTGCTTCTTTTGTTATCGTTGTAGATCGAAGTGTAGCTTTCGTGCTTGTTGTTTGCATTGGTCTAGTTGTTGTTTGTGCAGATGTAGAAGCAGCTGTGGTGATAGTCGATGTTGTTGGAGATGGAAAGGTAGTAGTTGTTATGCTTGTTGCTGTGGGTATTTGTGCAGTAGTTGTATTAGATGGATGCTTTGTTGTGGGGTTTGTTGTCTTTGCTGGTGTTGTTGTTCCGATATGTGGAGATAAATAGGTGGTGATAGTAGATGTTCTTGGAGATTGAGCAGTTGTTGTTGTTTTGGCCGTAGTTGTGCTTGTTGTCGTGGGATGTGGTGTAGTAGTTGTAAGTTTTGTTGTGGGGTTTGTTGTAGTAGTTGTATGTTTTGTTGTGTAGCTTGTTGTTATTGCTGGAGTTGTCACTGTTGTTGGGACATGTGTAGATGAAAGAGTAGTAGTACTAACAGTCAATAATGTTGTTGGAGATTGAGCGGTTGTTGCTGTTGTAGCGATTGTTGTGGTTGTTGTAGTGGGATATGGTGTATAAATAGTAATTGTAAGTTTTGTTGTTGCTGGAGTTGTCACTGTTGTTGGGACATGTGTAGATGTAGTACTAATAGCCGTTGATGTTGGAGACTGAGTCGTTGTTACTGGTTTTGTCGTTCTGCTAAACTCAGATGTAGATGTAGTTGTGGAGATCGTTGTTGGTGTTGTTGATTGACTTGTGGAAGTTGTTGTTGAGGTAATAGTTGTACCGGAGGTACCTGTTCTAGATGTTGTTGTAGATACCACTTTGTTACATGTAGCACAACAGTTCGTTGACGCTTGTTGACCTGAACAACTGTTCTGTGCATCACAATTCTCTACCCTATCACCATACTCGCAGCCTAAAACAAGGAATGCGTCCTCGTTACGAACTGTGAACAAACTTATACATGTATATCTATATCCAAGTACGTTGCAAAACCATGGCTTGCAGGAAATCGTATTCAGAAAATAAAATATTGCAATTCAACAGACTTATTGGGGAGGATACTAAACTAATATCTACAATCCCGAGCAGGTCTCATAAAACGATGGAATTGTACTTTTTTGATATCTTATGTGACTTGATCTGAGTACAAAATGCTACTGGAATTCCTATCACCAAACTCACATACTGATTGATTATATCTGCAAAGCTGTAGCTTCTCGAAAAAATATATTGAAAGGCCGAAGAGTCTCTGGACGTTCATCTCATTTTTTTTTTCTTCAGACCAGCAAGCTGCCGATTTGCAGCTATTAATACGTACGTGAGTTAATACATACAGAACAAAATTAAAAAAAACCCTTTAAACAAATGGAAATAAGCCATTTCTTGTTCAGAGGGATTGTCTAATTTAGGATAAAAGACGTTAGGTTACCGTATCTCACCTGAAATATTTGTAGAGAGGTTTTTGCAAGAGCCACAGCATTCCGAATACGTATCAAGATCGTAGCAATGAATGCGATTATCAGTTGTTAGGAAAGAACAACCGGGAGCACGGTCTCCAAAGGGACAGTCTGAAAGTTTCAGGAATATCATCATATTTGCCAAGTATTGAAGCGTTTAAGCTGATTTGGAAGAGCATTTTTCTATTTTTCAAAAGCTTTTTTTGTCGATAAACATGTACTAAAGACTTACTGGCATCGCTGGATCTGATTGACTCGCAAGAATGACAGCATTTACGGTAGTCGTTACCATAGCAATCCCAAGAATTAGACTTTATCTGGGTACACACAGTCCCTGGCTCGTCCCCAAATAAGCAGGTCTCTGTGAGGAGAATCAGAAAATCAAAAGGATGCCTAGAATCGAATAACACATTTTGGAGAATAACACGATATACTGACCATCTGCTGCGGGGCTAGAACTGTTGTACGTGCATACACCATTTTGGCACCACTGTAGAAGAAGTCAACTTGTATTGATAATTGCGTCGAATTTTATATAGCTGCAGGTTTGTAGCTCTCCGAAAAAAATATATTGATAGACCGGAGAGCTACAGTGCCACCCATTGAAAAAACTGTATATTTATTGCGCACAAAAAAGTGCGCTCGGTTCTCGATTTATTTCTCCATGTTTTAATCTGTGATATCAAAACAATACTAACCGTGTGTTCCAAACATATTCTTTCGCTGTTTCCACAACCAAAAATTCCTCATAATTGTTGTTAATAGTCCTCCTGACCCTGATATTGCAATCATAGAACATTTTGCTTATTTATACTGCCATTTTGGTTTCAAAGATAATTCGGTCCAAAATGCTTCGTTCAGATGTCAACTACGAGAGTACTTGATAGAGGAGAAAGGATTGTTTAAAATCTTCCCTTTTTGCAACTAAGGTAAGAATTTGGAAAAAATTAATCAAGAACCGAGCGCAATTTTTTGTGCGCAATAAATATACAGTTTTTTCAATGGGTGGCACTGTAGCTCTCCAGTCTATCAAAATATATTTTTTTCGGAGAGCTACAGATCTGCAGCTAAATTTTATAGAGGTAAAGAAATTACAGATCGATTTTTATAAAAGCAGAAGAGGGTAAGACACACCTTTCGGTTCCCACAGGTGGTGCCATCTGCAGGAAGAATGGTATCGCAACCTGTACTTCCCTGTCCCTTACAATACAGAGTCGTGCATATTTCTTGATAATTCGAGGAATTGTAAAATTCCTGTAATTCAGAAAAGCAGAATGCTGTTAATGAAATAAGCAGTTAGTTGAAGATGGGATTCATTAAAAAAACACCATTAGCTTGATTTGCAAAATGGCTTTGTGTTTTTCAGAATTAGTTTCAAGGAAAATTCTCTGCAAATTATTTTTACCCTGCAGGTAAGAGCACCAGCACCAAAACTGAGCTCACACTGTTGGTCCGCTTGGTACTTCTGTCCCAGTGGTATACTTTCGAAAGTTTGTAGTGAATTGCGATCCACAGATGATGTTTCTTGCAAGAGACAATTGGGTCTGTAACCAAACAAATACGTCAGTACGTTTGCTTTTAAGTTTACATAATATGCTGTCTTCTTTTTCTTTCTTGTTTTATTTTTAATTCATTTGTACTTACGACAAAGAGTTGATGTAATTGGCTATTTGGCTAACAGAACAGGAGGAAAATCTCCAGGGATTCGTGGATTTATCATGGGGTCTGCTTACAGCAGACATGACGTATCCCTCATCTGGGCATGTGTTTGTCCCCACACCCTCGTGGGTGGCCCCTAAACTAAATTAATGATATAATATTGTCATTTTTCTTTCACATAATGATATGTATGTTTTAAAAACGTTTCATATTATGCGAGTTAAAAACTCTTTTTGCCCCCGTTATTGAAGATTCGGGGGTATAGAGTTTTTACCGACCGTATGTCTGTCTGTTTAGCTGTTTGTCCGCAAAAACTTAAACCTTGTCTATAAATTTTGAGTTGACGGACGGACTATAGCTTTCATATTAATTAAGCATATTCCTTGAGACAAGACCAATCTTTGGGCACCAGCAAATTTGACTTCTTGACCTCGACCTGAGAGTTTGACCCCTTTTCCCACAGAAATTCAATTTTAACTTGTTCCAAAATCTTTCAATGGGTATAAATATCTTTGACCTTGACCAAAGAACATAGTATATATTCATTTTGCGATAGACAACTCGTTTACATCTTTAACAATGGTTTAGGGAAATGATGAACAAAATAAATCTTAGGTAAACTTTTTTTTTTTTTACCTATGACCCAATTCGTGCGCAGCAACGGTGTAACTAATCAAGTCAAATTTTTCCTCGACTAAAGAAATTGAGCCTTCTGAGCACACAGAGGAGACGTATGCAAATCCTGAAAAATACAAGAAAAAGACACTGAATAAATTTTTGCTTGGGAGTATGCCATTGTGTTTTTACATAAAACTCTTTTGTACTGTAAATTTTTAAAACTACCTGTAGCAGCAGTTTGGTTGTGAAGAGCCAGGTTATACCTAAATAAATATAATATAAAAAGGTAAACGTAAAATGATATTTTTAAATTCAACAAACAAAACAAAACAAAGCATATTTCTGTTACATTTTACTGAAAATTCATACAAACCTTGTAAACAGCATAGCATGGTCGTGATCTGGAATGGAATTGGAATTTACTTGTGACGTCCGCCATTTTTCAAAGGCGTCACCAGCAGACATGGCATCTAATCTATTCAGGCTGTCCAAACTCCCACTCCAAGAGGCAGCTGTCTTTTGGACAATTTGTGCTTTTTACAATATTCAATCTCCCACATAAACAGTACTCGTATTATATTAATGAAAAATTCTAACACAAGTCCATGTATACAATGAAAAAATAATTCTTTTAAAAAATGGGTACCCTAAGTTGTTTTCCATCGTAAGAAGGGGCCCTTCTTGTAAACACTTATCGCTTGGATCTAGATCTATAGAATTTCCAGTAAGTTATAAAATAGAGTTGCTCACCTCAGCAATATAAATCCCTGCAAATATGACATTGATGGTATCAGTGGACCCTGGTAAATTCTTGTATCTGGCATCGACCTTTACAAAATAGAAAACCAGAACATTTTAACCTCTTGAAGTGTACTATAGACCCCTATTTTGTTAAAGGTAAAAATGAATATGGAATGAACTTACTCCATTAAGAAGGAAAGCGTAGTACTGCTTTATGTCATTAATGGCTGCGTTTCGTCTCTCCCCGCTACTGGAGATGTTGTTGTTCTGTTCATACCAACTACAACAGTTAAGAGCAAAAAACAATCATTGGTTGACATCGCAGTACTATTTGACTTAAAAATTAATAATATTTGAAAAAAACAATGGATAGCATCATGAAATGAATTTTTTGATTGAAAGAACAAAATTGACATCAAAATACTACCGTTAATCTGGAAATTTTTGCTGTAGATAAATTTTTAGCAAATTTGCGAGTTCATTGCATTCGCAAAAATATTTTTCTTAAAAATAAATTACCAAGAAAATGTAAACAAAGCAGTGGTCATTCGCAAAATTTTGAAACGTAAAAATTAATCAACAGTATTTTGACCCGAATTCGCAAAATAAAATCGACGTAAAATTTTCCTTATTTACGGTATTTATGACAAAAAGTGATTTCATTGCAGATAAGCAGCACTGCATTTGCAAATACAGATTTTAGCAGATCGTATCAATTGCAAAGAATGATACTCACAACTTGTAAATGCTGTAATCTACAGTTAGAAACAATTCCACTGTATACACCGTCCCAGATCTTTTATGGCGAATTGGAAGATCTCTCCTTAATGGTTTGTAATTAAGTGTTTTTGGATCTGAAAAAAAAATTATTAGATTAAAAAAAAAACGATTTCCAATTAATGTTATATTGAGATTGCATTGAGAAATTGACAAAAGTTAATTTTATTAGTTTTTTTCTATATGAGTTTGTGTTCATTAATATAGTTTCTCTAGTTTAAGTTTAAGCTTTTGAAACTAAATTTTTAAAGCCGATTTATGAAAAGGTTGTTCTTTTTTTCAATTAAAAAAAATCGATGTGTAGATTCTTACTTAAAATAATGTAGTCAGATCGTAAATCTGAAGACGTAGTTATTTTTGAAATCATGAATGGCACTCTTGAAACTTGATGGAAGGATTTGATACTGGTGACTGTCTTCATGAAATAATGGTGATGGCCAAAAATAAAAGTTCCAGACTGAAATTTAACAAATTGCGTTTAAAGGTATCACTGCTGTAGTATTTTCATTTTTTAAAATGTAATCATTCCGTCATTCTTTTGCTTGATACGGGTTCATAGGGGTTTCGTTTGTTATGTATTTTTTGAATGTTTTATATAATACAATCTTATAGTCATTAAATCATTAAAAATCAAAAAAAGGTTTGAAATGGGAAAAGAATTCCTTTATTTCATAAGTTTGTACAAGAAGTCTCTTCCACAGAAGTTTGATATATTAAGTTCAATAAATGAGGATTCCTTTTTTCATAAAAGAAAAGAAATAAATTTATATAGAAGATTTCACTGTATAATACGCACAAGTAGTCTCTATAGCACAGTCATTAGATATATTAATTGATTGTTCTAACATCAGAACATCATACCAGACTATATCGTCCTGCTGCAGAGGTTTGGATCTCTATTGATGCTTCATGAAGTGGGTCCTGATACAAGTCAACCTGTCAACATGTATTTATATAAATAAAACTTCTCGACAAGTATAGTTAACATTGGATTCTAACTCAATACTTGCTATGAAATAGCTTTCTTCTAAAATTGAGAATTGACGTTGAACTCGCATTTTTTCTAATAAAGCATTTTGTCTTTGTCAAAATAATTCAATGTTAATGCAGAGGTTATATTATAAATTTTGCATTGACCTGTTTTTATCTAATTCAAAATTTACAACATAATACACTTACTTTCTCTTCTTTACTACAGATATTCTCTCTTTGAGGGTAGACCATGACACACCCAGACAGACGTTGGTTAAGGGTCAAGGACAGTCTCAGCGGACGACCTTCGACCTCTACAAACAGACTGGGTCGAGGAGGTGACCAGTTTGTCCTTCGTCTCCATCTCGATGTGGGAAAGAGGTGATGTACCCTCCCGTACGTCAAATCTGCAAAAATATTTTTGAAGCCTTGCTCTTAAATTCAAAACAACTGAGGATCATCGTTCAGATTAAGGATAACGAGTGCTATAGTGCTAAGAGTACAATTAATTGAATCAAAATATGCTATTAGTCCTTTATTTGACTGACAAAAATCTTATGTGATTTATAACATCTCAAAATAATACGTATAATTATCAATTTATTAAAGTACATGTATAGGTAAATGAGATGTAAAGTATAGCTAGGGTTGTAGTAGCCTCAAAGATACTTACTGATGCACTTGAGACAAATTAAATTGTGACAAAAATCTGAAAAGGTTTTTTTTTTATCTCCCTAATGCCAGTGTTTGGCGGCTTTTCTCTCTTTAAAGAGCCAATTTCCCAACATATCCAGTTTCTTTCGTACCTCTACGACAATTATCAGTCAACAAACGCCTTTAATGCAGAAGTCTCTTTCTATTCCAGTAGAAATTTGAACCCTTTATGTGACAGGATACGTGATTTTGAGTCACGGTTTTCCGTGAGGTACTTTTTAACATTTGGTCGTGTCTTTTAAAATTAACTTTTTTAACATAATTTTTTTGCACAATGATAAATCTTTTAGATATGAATTGAAATGTTTAGAATTTTTTGAGATCCCAAATGTTCATTTTTTTTTTAAAAAGAACCTTTTGTTGCAATATTCAATATGTTGATGGAGGCTTGGAATGTTTATTTTTTCCTACAGTGAAGAGTGTGAAATGAAAAATATATAAATTATAAGGAAAAGATCAACACTCCTTTAAAATACCGCACATCCTCAAGATCTTCAAGAAAGCAATTCCTATTATTGAAAGTATACGGATATCACTAAAAAGCTTTATGCCTCGACCTGGATATCGAATTACCAATATTGGCATGGCCGTATGAATAATAAACGGGTGTGGAAGTTTCAATTTCCTCAATATTTTATAGTGAAAATCTTCATATAAAAGCAATATCTGTGTTTATAATAAAACAGGATTGGTACTTAGACCCAAAATAGACCGATTTTCGATCTCTACACCAAAGTCAAAATACTCTGTCCATGTTTAAAGTTAATTAGTGATTAGTTGTTTCTCTGAACAACTAAGACTACTTACCCTCATCATAGTTTCCAAAATGTTTCAATGTGGTGGCATATTCTACAAATATCGTAAGAAACAAATATCCAATAACATTCAACAAATCCATAAAAAAGCATTGCAAGTCACTTGAATCTTCGTTGTCGATTCACCACCCAATTATGCAATGTGTGTATACATACCCGTGTGTTTTCTAGCTCAATTTGATCTGTCACGCTTGACAAAAGTTACGCTATCCGTATAGTTTAACAAAAAAGATTTCAATTAGACATGTAGTTCATTAGAGGTTTTATCCAGTGATCAAAGGTGTATAAGATAATGCAGATATGGGCCTTTTCTTCATCAGCACAACATATAATTAAAGCATGGACTAAAGATCAATAAATTAATCAATTTTGTATACTATTATTTGTGAAACGGAAACCTGTTTCCTGAAGGGAGTGGTTTAAAGAATTAGAATGCAGAAATAAGGATATCATAATGCCCAACCCTAAAATGCCAAAATTGGTCATTTTTGAAATATACCGGTATATTTAAGATCATTTGATCCTCTTTTTTTTTTAAAAGGAAACTTAATACACAACGACAAACTTTTAGCTTTATTCGACTTTTTTTAACTGCAACAGAAAATTAAGACTAGAATATCCAAAGAACTTTTTAAAAAATTTTGGTTTCATTGACAACTGCTTCTTCTGTGAAGATGGATGTCGGAAATTTTCATATCTTATGATTGGTCATCTACAAAAATTCTTTATTAAAGACCACTTTAATTCTACACACAAATACATGTACTCCGAGGCTGAAGTTGAAACTAAAAGGTCATGCCCGAGTTCCTCGACAACATTTACGTAGTCTTCGGAGACCAGGTCTTCTCACAAACTGTTGGAATTCCGTAGGTTCTAATAGTGCTCCTTTATTGGCTAATTTGTATTATTTATATTCATATGAAGCAGAACTTATACACGAAAAGACGAAAACAATTGCTGTGGCCTTCAACTCGACATTCGGAAATATCAACGATGTATTATGAATGAAGAATAGTCACTTTCGTTCATATATCTGGGCATACCCCAGTGAACTTGAAATTAAAGATACCATAGCGTCTGCCACATCTTTCTATAGGCCTATATGTATATTTGGATGTTTTACTGATTTACGTTATCTTTCCTTTTTTGTAGTTACATCCCGCTATCGTCTGCATATGATGTTTACATCTTCAAACTTATTCGAGATCAGTTTTTAAACCGAGACAGGCTCCTGACAGATAAGTTAATATTACAGGGATTTCAATAATCTAATTTAAAAGTCAGCATTTTGTAAATTCTATGATCGTTATAATTGCTTGTTGGCAAATTAATCCTACCATTAGATCTTACGTTTTCTTGTGTGATACCAATCATTAGGCCTTTGTTTTTATACTGAATTTGACCACGGAATTTTTCGTTTACCTGATCACTGCATGTAGGACTCATGGCGGGTGAAACTGGTCAACAAGGGATGCTTGCTCCTCCTAGGCACCCTATCCCACCTCTGAATTTCCAGGGGTCCATGTTTATGCCTTCTTAACAGATTTCTTCTGTTTAAAGATTTTTTTAGATTGATTATGTTTGTAATCTTCCTGTTCATCAGTTTAATTACTTTCAATGAATATGTAACAAACACAAAAAAGCAAACAGTGCTCCTTCAATACCAATATTTTTATACAGTTGTATACAAGGTATGTCGGGGAAATATTTCACAACTAAAACAGAAATCGGAGTTCTATCCCATGTTTGAATGCATTTCACAATTCCTGTAAACAAAATAGATCTTAACAGGGCAAAAAAACGCATCCCTTCTTGGAATCGCTAGATGTGGCATTAGGTTAGCATTCCCTGTTAAATGGACTCACCACCGTGAGTCTCAGTAATCCGTAGTTCATTTGAGTAAAAAATGACTTTATACTATTCGTATTAAAAATTCAGTCTTATACGACACAACAATGTTGATATGTTGTATTTGGAAGTAGGGTCATAGTACCGGCTATAGTATTTTTGAAATGCTTGCTATAAGCGATTGTTGAAAGCCCTGTAACATCAACTTATTTATCAGTAGGCTGCTTTGGAATAAAAATTGATCGTTAACGGAACATTGTTTTGAGATCTAGCTGCAGAAATGTAGCGTTATGGTTTTATGTATAAATCTTTGACCATAACTACAGATCTCGTAATGCAAATAAGATGCAATTTACGGGTCAATATTTTTGCGCGCTGTCGGGGTGAATTTTCTCTTTCCTGCTTTGGTCAATCAACTTCCTTTTACTACCTATTTCAAGACCCATTTTATACTCAACCTGTATATAATTAATCCACCTCCCAACCCTTCATAGTCGTCTCTGAAGATCGATGAACTGGTTTGTTTTGAATTTTGTGCAACCCGACTAAAAAATCAAAACAAGCGAGTTCATCGGTCTGGAGAGACGACTATAAAAGGTTGGGAAGTAAATAAAATATACATGTTGGTAAAAGTATGAGATCGTATTTAGAATTAGGGCTGGAAAGTGGAGAAATTCACCTCAACGGTGCGCAGAAAATCTGCCGCTATTTAGAACCAAATAAGCCGATAGAACTGAATACACAACTGTATATCTGTAGGTAATATTTGAATATTGCTGCGTAAATAGGTGAAGTTGATGATATATCGATCATATTTTGAAACTGGGTCGCAATACCGACTACTGGATTTGGGAAATGCAGTACAGACGATTCACTACGAAAATAATAGTCTAACCATTTGTTAAAATGTCATTCATTGCTAGCAATCTTTTTGTATCAAGTTATCAGCCATAGAATTTCCGAAATGTTGATTTATGTGGAACTTTTGAAATCCTTGTGTCAGCAACGTATTCCTCCATAGCTTACATTATTTAGAAATTATTCATATCAAGAGGACCTCTGAGGTGGCTCTTATGTATCGAATCAACACAGAGACATAATGCAGCTGATAATGGTATATTACAACATAAACAAGGAAAGTTGACAAGAGAAAAATTGAAATCATCCTGTTTATCATGATGATTTGTTGTTAGGTTGCCATTAATGCTTTTTTGCAGTAAAATATCCAAATATGAAACAGATGTATCAGACTCTGTGGTGTTTTGTTATTTTGGGTTTAAAGAATTTATCGAATCAGCATAGGTATGAAAATGAATATTGTTAATTGATAAAACGTCGTCAAGATACCGGTATCTAAACGTAAATCTAAATTAAAAGCCACAGCAAGAGATCTCTTCTTTTCATAAAGAATTTTTTGAATAAATTCTGTTTCATATATGATCTGCCAATAATGGTGCACAATTAGTACCCATGGATATCCAATAGAATGTAAGAGGATTTGGTCTCCAAAACTACAAAGATATTGTAAATCAGAAACTAAAGCAGCTTTTTAATAATATCATCTCTGAGTACTTTCACTTGTGTCTTCAATCAGAGTAATTTTTTTTAACTAAAAATAATTTTTGCAAATACAAGGTATGTTACTTTCACAAGTTCCATTTTTATTGAAAAAGCCTATGATGGCAGAAAGTCTGAACTTTAGTTTTCTCTATTCATAGATGTTTCAGCCAATTTCAATGGAAATTTTATCTCGTCATTCTACAGCAGTTGTCATTGACAAAGTAATTAACAGATCAGAAGAACTTGTGCATGTGTGTGTGTGAGTTTTCTCAAGGTGAAACCTTTCTCTCATGATTAAAGATCCACTTCAGGGAATGTTACATTTTTTATTCAACAAACAAATGTATAGAACAACACAAAAATGTTATCTATTTTGTTTTTATAACAGGTATTATTAAAGTTTGTGTAGGTAAGTCAAATCTAAAAATAGTAAGATCCAACAAAAAAAAAATTATGACGATTCTTAGCTTTAACATGAAAAACATGGACACTAGGTGTCACTTGTTTAGAACTTTGAAGTTTTCACTGTCGACCACTTCATAGTTAAGGGTGTTGAAGCCTAGCAGGTTGTTAAACCTTTCCAGCATCACATAGTCATTAAGCTTCTGCATGACTGGTGGGAGGGCCTCAATCCCAGCCCAGTCTGCCAGCTCTTTGTTAAACTTCCACTGGCGATCCTCATCTCCGAAGAAATGGTAGTACGTGACTGGTTTCCCCGCGTCCAGAAGATCCTGATATTCTTGGTCACTCTCGGCCCTCATTTCCTCTTTCGATGGAAGTGGTGCGATGCCCTCCAAGACTGCCACAGCGACTCTGGACTGGTTGTGGATCTGTGGAAAATGGTTCCACTGCTTTGGAATTCCCACGAAGATGAGACTTGGATACTCGATGTGAACCATATGTTTGTAGAGTGGTGTGACCCTCTCGTTCTTTGTACTGACTAGACCTTCCTGTAGAAAGGGAAAGCTGTATTTGTATCCAGTGCAGAAAATGACGGAGTCCACTTCAGCCTCGGTTCCATCGGCGAACACAAGGCTTGTTTCTGTCATGCGTACAATGGGTGGCTTCTGAATGATGTCATCAGGGAATGATGGAGACATTGTTTTTCTTCTGTGGACGGCATAAACCTACAATTAAATTATTTCAAGCATTCCATTACTCATATTGTTTTTTTCATACAGTCAAACCTCATTATCTCAAACAAAATGAGACCTGAGTAAAACTTAAGCTTTGAAAAATCTAAGGAATATATTTAGAAGAAAATGGTTGGAACCTCAAACTCACTTTGACTCATCTTGATGATATTTCATAAATCAATATTTGTAATACCAAATATTAACTGTTACTGTACTTTTCTTTTATTATCATTAGATCTTCAGAGTGGGCTGTTTGGCTTAGAAAGCTTATGAAAGTGTTTTTAAGTTTTGACAATTTTATATCTTGTTTTGTGTCATGAGGAACATTTGGGTAAAATCCCTAAATCTTGCATACCCTTTTTGCTTTCGTTGAGACCTGAATGGCGATGTCTTCCCCTGAGTAGTGCATGCCAACAATGGCTACTTTCTGGTTGGCAAATGTCTCCACATGACGGTAGTCTCTGCTGTGTAAAATTTTACCGCAGAACTTGTCCATGTCGGCAATATCAGTAGGAATGTTTGGCTTGGAGTCATGCCTACAAATTATACATCTAAATGTAAAAAATAATTCAACGGTTATC